CTGTATGGCTGCCACGGCTGGCTGCGGTCGCCGTTCCGAAGCGGAAGCGGTACCCATCTCGACAAACCAGCAGACTGACTCCGAGAGTCGTTTTCGTGGCTCCAACCCCTCGTCCACCCCTCACACGCACATGGAAGTGACCCGTACAGGTGCGAGTGCGATCGCCGAGGGGGAAATCACTCGCGTAATAGTCGGGTCACCAATTCTTACGCGTAATAGTAATAGCGTAATAGCCAAATTTTTTAAAATTTTCCCTTTTGGGGGTCCAATTTTAGCCTAAATCTGGATATTTTCGAGCGTAATAAGCCTTCTGTAATAGCGTAATAGAACGTAATAGGGAGTAGTCGGGTCACAGTTTTTAAGAGTGATTTCCCCCTCGGCGATCGCGTTTAGTTTCACTTATCGAACGCCAAACCGACGCTCCCTTCCCGGAATTCGGACCAGAAACAGTCACACAAGCTGCCGCGCCTCGTTGAGTTTGGCGGGCTCCTCGGGTGGCTTTGCTTGGCTTTGCAACGCTTTGTTTTGATGGCCGAAATGTCACCGAGTTCTCAATCTACTTTCCGACGCGGTCCGCTATGATGACGTCTTGAACCGAGTCTGGAACAGCGGAAGCGAGCGGAACCGAAACACCTCGGAGAGTTCTCAGCGAGTCCCGCGTTCGGTCAGCTTCACGCTGCTGGCCGTGCTGGCTGAACCCGGACTCGGCTTACCGCTCGATTCGTTACCGTCGATGTATTATCTATCGCTGCTGACCAGCGGACCGGTGGACCAGTGCCAGGCCGACGGCAGGCCCACCAGTCGCCGACTCGCTCGCAAAGAAAGGCCCTGCCCCGCCCCGCCCCGCCCAGCCGCCGGACCGCGCTGCTGGGACGGCCGGGCACGCAAAGGGATTTTGGTATTCGCAGCCGCGGCCCCAGCAGGCTGCGTGTGACAGGCGCGCCGCATACAGTACGCCCCCGCAGTGGTGCGCCCGGAGAACGCCCTGAGGAACACCCAGAGGAACGCCCAGAGGAACGCCCAGAGGAACACCCAGAAGAACGCCCAGAAGAACGCCCAGAGGAACGCCCAGAGGAACGCCCAGAGGAACGCCCAGAGGAACGCCCAGAGGAACGCCCAGAGGAACGCCCAGAGGAACGCCCAGAGGAGCGCCCAGAGGAACGCCCAGAGGAACGCCCAGAGGGACGCCCGGAGGAACGCCCGGAGGAACGCCTGGAGGAACGCCCAGAGGAACGCCCAGAGGAACGCCCAGATGAACGCCCGGAGGAACGCCCAGAGGAACGACCAGAGGAACGCCCAGAGGAACACCCAGAGGAACGCCCGGAGGAACGCCCAGAGGAACGCCCAGGGAACGCCCGGCGTGCTTCCCCGCAGGCCGCGGCGTTGGTTCTGCTTCCCTTGTGGCCTTGGTGGCGTGGCGCGGTGGCGGTGGCGCGGGCGTGCCACGGCCATATATTCCCAAGTTGGCCTCCTCTTGGCCCCGATGCGACACAAACATCGAGACGCCACGGCGAGCGCGGCGGGGAGGGGCGGCCGCGGTATCCACAGGGGTGCCAACGACAGGCGGCGTGGACCGTCAAATCCAGAGCCCCCCCCCTCCTCGCAGCAGGAAGCATTGTGCAGGACGAGGCCACCATCGTGAGAGCCACTCCGCCGCAGACGCGTGCGTCGGCTCCTGCCTTTTTCTTTTCTTCTTTTTGTTGTTTGGCAGCGTGGCAGCGTCACTCAACAGTGTAACACTACAGTGAGCTTCCCGCCAAACATTCAGCGTGGCTCAAACGAACTAGCTCGGAACAATCAACAATACAATACTGTACGACCGAAAGCCGCGTCGCCGCGTCTCTGTGTGTCCGCCAAACAAGACCGAATTGAGGCCGAATGGTCAATAATCCCGTCGTCAGCGCGTGGACCGAGTAACCCCTGGACATGCCGCGTGGGCGGCGGTGTCCCGGTGGCGGCGAGGCGTGGCATGCACGACCATAATTTCAACCTCAACTTTCCCTCGACGACAACTTGTTTTTCACTGTGTTTTTTTTATGTCCGTTTTCCGCACCCCGTCGTGCGGGGAGTGACAGGCGGCGAGGCGTAGACGATAGGGCACTTTGTTTTCGCGACGGGGGCTCGTTTGGTGTAAGCAGAGGCCGAGCCTCGGGCCTCGGGCCTCGGGCCTCGGGCCGCCAGCGAGCTGCAGCCAGCCCCTCATAAATGAACAAAGTTTTGTCACATCGCCTTTTGAGACGCGTGTCGACGTGTGTGTGTGTGAGAGAGAGAGAGAGAGAGAGAGAGAGAGAGAGAGAGAGAGAGAGAGAGAGAGAGAGGTGTTGTGGGAAATTGAATAGTCTCTTCCGTTATTAGTCGGCGTTAAGGGGCGCAAACTTGCGATTTTACGGTGTGTTGAGGCTCGTGTCTCGCGCGAGGGGTTGAGCTCCGACGTCCACAGTGGCGGAGGCGGGGCAGGGCTGGCGCGGGTCATGGGGGTTGCGTTGCAGACCGGGGGAACCGAACCGTGAAAGCGAATTACTTGGTGGTGCCGCGCGGCGTGCGATGCTGCAGACTGATTCCGAGGGCCGCCTTCGTCGCTCCGTCTCTCTCGCACCTACAGGGGACGCCCCGTGAGTGCGAGAGAGACAGAGCGTCGAAAACGAACCTCATTCTGCTGTCCGGCTCGTCGGCGACCTCCCGGGCCGCGCGAAGACGACGAGGCCGTGAGGCGTGAAGGTGACGGTGTGCAGGTCGCGCAGGTCGGCCTCATTTGGACCACTTGGCGCAATCCGCCCTTTGCCCAGTGAGTGAGTCGGGCGGGGCGGGGCCGGGCGGGGCGGGGCGGGGCGGGCGGGGCGGGCGGGGCGGGCGGGGCGGGCGGGGCGGGCGGGGCGGGCGGGGCGGGGCGGGGCGGGGCGCGGCTGGAGGCTGCTGGACGGTGGACCGACGGACTCGAAATCGACGCGAAACGCGGCGGGGCGAGGGAAGGCCAGGCAGCGAGCCAGGCAGCGAGCCAGGCAGGGACGGAGCGGAGGCCCGGAGGGCGGTAAGGGCGGCAAGGGCACGGCCCCGGCTCCGCCAAGCAGAAGTAATCCCTGAGGAGGGCGGGGCGGAGCGGTACGGCCACAACGAGCCACCGCGAGCACGGCCACCACGAGCACGGCCACCCACGAGCACGGCCACCACGAGCACGGCCACCACGAGCACGGCCACCACGAGCACGACCACCTCGAGCACGGCCACCACGAGCACGGCCTCCACGAGCACGACCACCTCGAGCACGACCACCACGAGCACGACCACCTCGAGCACGGCCACCACGAGCACGACCACCACGAGCACGGCCACTACGTCCTCCACGAGCACGGTGCACTCGTTGAAAAGATCCAGCACATGCTGTTGCTTCGGGCGGGAGAGGGACAAACATGCGACGAGCGGGAAATAAACAAAATCTAATCGGTCTCTGTGTCCGTTTCCACACTGCGGGTTCCAAAAACGAGCATGCCGAGAAGCGCATTGATTCGGAGCTCGGCGCCGAGCCGGACCGCCATGCCATGCCATGCCATGCCATGCCATGCCAGCCCGCCAGCCAGCACGCCAGGCCGCCACAGGCCGCCTCCCCCCGGCCCACTTCCCTGCCACCCGTGCTGCTGCTACTGCTGCCACTGCTGCTGTGTGGACGCAGAGCTGGCTTATTGCTGATGTGAGCTTGGCACTGATCCCCCCGTCGATGGCCACACGGGTGGGATTTGGGCGAAAGAGGGGCAGGGGGAGGGAATTAGGGGAAGGGGGGGGGAACGGGATTGGGATCAGCCGAGTGCCTGGAAAAGGGGAAAAGGCACGAGTAGACTGATTCCGAAAGTCGTTTTCGTCGCGCAGTCTCTCTCGCACCAACAGCACTGAAAAACCAAACGTGGCCTAGACCGCACCAACTGGTGTGGTTAAATGGATGCCATTTTGACCACACCAGCTGGTGTGGTCTAGACCACGTTTGGTGCGTTTGGTGTGGTCTAGACCACACCAAACGTGGCCAAATGTGGTCTAGACCGCACCATACGTCGTCAAGCGTGGTCTAGACCACACCAACTGATGTGGTCAAAATGGCATCCATCTGACCACACCAGTGGTGCAGTCTGAACCACGTTTGGTTTTTCAGTGAGGGGGCGCCCCATGAGTGCGAAAGAGGCAGAGCCACGAAAAAGACTCTCGGAATCAGTCTGCAGGGGGGATGAGGGCTATAAAGCGACCAGCCGCCCAGCGATGGTGCGAGGGGACCAAGTGCGCGCAACAAGCGCTTCCCCGTCTCTGTCTCTCTTCTTTATCCGCTCTTCGGCCCGTCTGTCTCTTTTCCCCTCCCACCCCCACTCACTCCGGCCTATTCAAAGAGAAACGAAGCTCAGGGCGCCCTCGGAGTAATGGGATGGACGCTGTGCCCCGCCCCGCCCCGCCCCGCCACGCCCCGCCCCGCCACGCGCTTCCGCTACACCACGCCCCACAGCGCGCCTGTGAATCCGAGGGTAGGCAACACGCCGCGCGTGGCTGTGCGGCGGGCGAGTCTACCCGGCGCCTGCCAGCCCCGCCAGCCCCGCCTGCCGCCAGCCGCCGCCGCCAGCCAGCAGCCAAAGAGATCGGGCCCGCTGCCGCGCTATTTTTGGAGCGTCTCGGGGGCCCGTCGCGGAACGGAGCTCTGTTCGTGGGCAGGCTGGCGGTCTGGCGTCATTTGCCGAAAAGATTTCATTCTCCACTATTCTTTCAGGTCTGGCTCTGGCGGCATAGTGGCGCCAAGATAACCCCATCACGGTGTGTGGCTTCGGACTCGGCGCGTTAACACGGAATGAAATGTCATTTCCGGCAGGCGGCCGGCTATTCCACGCGGTTTCAACTTTGTTTGCTGGCCAAGTTTCACCGCGGCTCTGGTTTTCCTCCTTTTCGCAGTGTCAGCCCGTTATTAGCGCACCGAGTTGATGTCGCCGACAGCATTAGCCAATATTGCTCGGCATGCAAAGTGCCTCGCCTTCATGTCCCGGTCGGTCGGTCAGTCTCCGGCCCACTGTGCTGCGTCCCGCTGCGTCCCGCTCTATACCCCGTCCGTGTGGTCCGTGTGCGCAGGCGCTGCCCAGGGCGCGGCCCGCGCGCTGCGCCGGCCGTCCTTCGCGCCGCCCAACGCCCTGGAGCCCCTCATCGTGGTGGAGGAGTCCCTGGACGGCGACGAGGACGACGAGGTGGCCGGGGCGACGGGCGGCGGTGACTCGTCGTCGCGGGGCCTGGGGGGCCAGGACCGCGACGAGGCGTCGCCGTCGCCGCCCGCCGAGGCCGACGTCAACCCCTACCTGCTGAGCCCATGGAGGGACACCCGCAAGTCGTCCCTGCCGACGCCGGCCTGCGCGTCCGGCATCACCGCCAGCCAGGTAAAAAGGAAAAACTACAAAGTATTTTTTTTTTTAATGTACTGTATATAAGAAATAGGAAAAGAAAGAAAACATGTTATGGTCAGACTACTTGCTGTAGACGCCGTATTGCGAAACTAAAAAGTAGAAGCAGGAAACGTTTAAAAAGGCCGCCAGCAAGAACTAACTTTTTAATAAAGCTGACAATGTTCCCGGGGGATCGCGGGGGAGAGCTATAGTCTGACGGCGCGGTGCCTGCAGACTGATTCCGAGAGTCTCTCCGTCGCTGGGTCTCCCTCGCCCCCGCAGGGGACGCGCCATGAGTGCGAGAGAGCCAGAGCGACGAACCGACTCTCGGAACGAGTCTGCTGCTCGCCTGCTTCAACGGATAACTCGGGGCGATTAGCGCGGCGACACGCGAAGCGAAACAGCAGGCAGAGCTCTGCTTTCGTCGCTCCGTCTCTCTCGCACTCACGGGTCGTCGCGCAAGGGTGCGACAGAGACAGAGCGACTTGCTCGGCATCGGCCTGCGAGGCGCCGCCGCACAGTGGGCCAGAAGCCGGTGGCGGCGGCCAAAACTCTAGACGCGTTTTGAGCTCCAGAGTCGCTAAATTGGACTCGAACCGAGCGTGTGACCCCACCAATGGATTCCTCGTTCGGAGAGCAGTCCATTGGTGGGGTCACACGTTCGGTTCGAGTCCTGTTTTGCGACTCTGGAGCTCAAAACGCGTCTAGAGTTTTGGCCGCCTCCACCGGCTTCTGGCCCACTGTGCGCCGCCAACTCGTAACTCGCTTAACTCTGCTGTCGTTGTCTTGGCGCAGGTGCGACGCCTGTCGGAGCGCGGCCCCGAGTCCGGGCCGTCGCCGCGCGAGCAGGAGTTCCTGGCCACGCTGTCCGCCATGCCGGGGCCCACGCCGGGCGGCCGCCGCCACTCCGTCGTCATCTCCCGGGTGCCGCCGCCGTCGCTCATCATGTTCGGCCGCGGCCGGCGCGAGTCCATCGCCGCCTTCTCGGCCGCGGCCTCGCGGCCCGCCGCCCTCGCCTCCTCCACGCACAACCTCCAGCTGGACCTCATGGACGACCTGCTGGAGTTCAAGGCCGCCAAGAAGGTGAAGCAGCTGCAGCAGGAGGCGCGGCGCTGGTGCGACGCGGGCAGTCCCAGCCCCAGCCCCAGCCCGCCGGAGAGCCCCACACAGGCCGCGCCCTCGACACTGCCCTCGGCTGAGCCGCAGCAGCCATAAACAGGCAGGGGACCACTGACGCATTCGCACTCACGCCCACGCACACACACCGACGCACTCACACGCTCCGGACGGCCTGCCACGGCCGGACTGCACGCGGCCTCCAGCACACTTGGCACGCGCGCGTCGGCACTGCGCGTGACGTCATGGTCGCGTCGGTAACGCACCACTCTCCCGAGCAGCAGGTCGGGAGTTCAAATCCCGAGATGCGACGTTTGAATCTCATTTCTTTCCTCCTAAAATATTTCAACGCAACAGTAAACTGAAACGTCTGAGACGAGAAAGAGGGAGAGAGGGAGAGAGAGAGTAACCACTTCCGATGTGCTTCAACGACCGCGTGCCAAGTAAGCGTGCTCCAAAGCCCGACGCTCTGCCGCTGTGCTCGGCTCCCGGAGCGCACCCACACCATCCACACCCTGCATACCCGCGCCCAGCAGCGCCAAGCCTGGCCCAGCCCCAGCATGACACTTCCTTTCGAGTCGTTTCCCAGCCGGTCCCACCATCATGCACTTTGCGCCCCTCTCGGAATCGTCTTTGTAATTTCCGTGTTGTAGCACTCCGTACTCCGCGCCCCACAGCCTCACAACGGCCGCGGGGGGCGACGGGTATACACTGTAGACACTGTGCGTCCCACAGTGGGCTGGAAGACCGGTGGAGGCGGACAAGGCTCTCGACGCGTTTTGATCGCTAAAGTCGATAAGCAGGACTCGAACCGAACGTGTGACCCCCACCAATGGATTGCTCTCCGAACGAGCAATCCATTGGTGGGGTCACAGGTTCGGTTCGAGCCCCATTTAGCGACTCTGGAGCTCAAAACGCGTCTAGTTATCGCCGGCCCCCGCCGGTCTTCTGGCCCACTGTGCGACCGCCGGCAGTGCCGCCCAGTGCGCCGCGCGCCCTCTGGTGGCAGCGCCGCCAACTGCGGCGGTGAATCTGCAGCCTTTGTGTGCCTCGCCTGCCTCGCCTGCCTCGCCTCGCCTCGCCGCCGTGCTCCATAGTCTTCCTGGAACGTGGCGGGAGTCACAAAGTCAGCCAAGCGACAGGGGAATTCCGCGAGCAGGGGAAGAGGGGTGGGGGGGGAGCGTTCCCGCATTCTAGTTTCCGGGCCGACGAAGTCGTTCCTTGTACTCCCGGTGATTAGCCGGGGGCTCTGGGGGCTCGGGGGCGGCGGCGGTGTCAGCCAGAGCGATTCCAAATAGTGCTGTCTCTCTCGCACTCACGGGGCTGTGTGTTTCGGTTGAGGGGGAGGCAGAGCTTTGGACCGTCCCGTCCGCCAAACAGGTGGTTTGGCTACAAGTTATTTTTTTTTTTGTCACGCAGGGAAAGGCAGACTGAAAATCAGGCACAGACAGAAACAGACACCAAGACACGCACGCAGACAGACAGACAGACAGACAGACAAACAGACCGACAGACAGACAGACAGACAGACAGACAGACAGACAGACAGACAGACAGACAGACAGACAGACGCCCTCTATTTGAATCCGCTTGACTGGCCGCCCTCGAAACCGAGTGACTAGTGCCGCCGCGCGTCGCGAACGAGACGCTGGAATTGAATGGCGTAGCTAGCGCAGCCCTGCACTGCCCCCCTTTTGTCGCTCTGTCTCTCTCGCACTCATGGAGCGTTCCGTATGGGTGCGAGAGAGACGAAGTGAGGCGGCTGTGCAGAGGGGGGTGCTAAGCGGGCGCCGCCACCAAGGTCGCCGACGTCGCCGCCGTCGCCGAGTCCCTGCTCATGCCGATATTAAAATGAAATCCGGCCGGGCAGTCGAGCCGAGTCGAGCAGAGTCGCGCAGCCCCGCACAGTGGGCCAGAAGACCAGTGGAGGCGGCCAAAACTCTAGACGCGTTTTGAGCTCCAGAGTCGCTAAATGGGACTCGAAGCGAGCGTGTGACCCCACCAATGGATTCCTCGTTCGGAGAGCAATCCATTGGTGGGGTCACACGTTCGGTTCGAGCGGCCTATTTAGCGACTCTGGAGCTCAAAACGTGTTTAGAGTTTTGGCAGCGTCCACTGGTCTTCTGGCCCACTGTGCCCCGCCGCGTTGCACCGCGTGTGAGAGGAGAGGAGCCCCTCCCGCAGGCTGCTCGGCCTGCTCGCTCCGTCTCTCTCGCACCGGTGCGAAACCTCCCGCGCGCCGCGCGAGTTGGAGAGAGACAGCGCGACGCGAAAAGCACCGAATATTCCGCCTTCCGCGTCGCGCCGCCGCCACCGCTTTGGCGGAAATTAAATTTCACCGCGAAAATGTCTCGAATGAGGGGCGGGGGAAAAGGAGAGGGGCGTCGCGCGGCACAGTTTGTTCTCTCTTTCTTTTTCCCGCCTTTATTGCGCGCGCGGGGTTTGTTTGTTTTTTTCTGCGATAGGCGGCCGTATTAACGGGTATGGAAAATCGATGCGTGCGAAGCGGAGGCCCGCGACGCGTGAGAGAGCGAGAGAGAGAGAGAGAGAGAGAGAGGGGGGGGGAGGAGAGAGAGAGAGTGAGAGAGAGAGAGAGAGAGAGAGAGAGAGCAAACTTGGCTACCGGACGGAAGTTCGTCCTCAATCTCTCTCTCCCGCAGCATTACACTCCGCTTTGCAATAAGGCGGCAGCGGCACTGGCTGGCACTGCCTTGCAGGCACCGGGCACTGCCAGCCCTGTGCGCAGCCCTGCGCAGCCCTGCTAGCCCTGCACGGGGTTGTTTGTCAGAGTGCTACAAGGCAGGGAAGAGTCGGGAAAGCCCTCTCGTACACTGCGAAGGGGAAGGGGGGCGCCTTCCGGTCGGTGCACTCCAGCCCCGCCAGCGCCGCGCTCTCGGCTCTCGGCTCTCGCTCTGGCCGACCGAGGAAAAGCCAGGTGCAGACAGGCTCCCGCTTCCGGAGGCCCCCCCCCCCCCGCCACCCAGCGCGAGCAGTCGCGCAAATGCACTCCTCGCAGACACGCAAAATATCGCACGCGCGCAAAGACGCTTACACGAGCCGCACTCGCGTGTGTAGCCGTGGCTTGCGACCGAACAAAAATAGCCGGGGGAAAAAATGGGGGACGAAACTCGTTTAATTGTGTGCGTGTCACACAAAGAAGCGTGAAATGCCGCCTCGCCGGGCGGGTCGGGCTTTGTGGCGACCAGCACGCCGAGCACGCCGAGCACGCCGTGCACGCCCCCCGCGGCCGTATCCGTCGCTCTGTCTCTCTCGCAACCGCAGGGATGCCACGTGAGTGCGGGAGAGAGAGAGAGACAGCGCGACGAAAACGACTCTCGGAATCAGTCTGCAGCGGTCCGCATGACGGGGATGATGGAGGCGGAGGGGGGCGGAGGGGGCGGAGGGAGGCACACCGTAATGGCGCTGCCCTCGGGCGTTGTCAAAGGGGGCGGGGGAGGGGGATGAGCTTGTTGATGTCCAGGGAATCACGTCCCTCGTTTGGCCGCCGTGCCCGCCGTGCCCGCCCGGGTCTCGGCGGCAGCAGGGGCAGCAGCAGCGGGAGGACGGCCAAGGCGATCCCTGCCCCCAAAAAGTACTCCCATTTCGCGAATAGTTGGGTGTGGCTCGACGAGCGACGTCACTCTGGTCCCTTCCGCCATTATCGAGGCAGGGCCATGGCCGGCCAGCAGGCTGCTTCCGAGAGGCGACTTCTGTCTCTCTCGCGCTCATGGGGCGTCCCGTACAGGTGCGAGAGAGACAGGGCGACGGAGAGGACTCTCGGCAGCAGCTTGCAGGCTGGGCCAGGCACAGTGGGCCAGAAGACCGGTGGAGGCGGCCAAAACTCTAGACGCGTTTTGAGCTCCAGAGTCGCTAAGCAGGACTCAAACCGAACGTGTGACCCCACCAATGGATTGCTCTCCGAACGAGCAATCCATTGGTGGGGTCACACGTTTGGTTCGAGTCTCACTTAGCGACTCTGGAGCTCAAAACGCGTCCAGAGTTTAGGCCGCCTCCGCCGGTCTTCTGGCCCACTGTGCTTGGCCATGCCGAGGGGGTGGCCAGCCGGGCAGGAAATTCCGACCCTCTGGAAGGGTGGCCCTGGAATGGTTGGAAGGCCCTGTGGAGGGACCGGCCCTCGAGGGCTTCGGGTTGCCTTCGTACTCAAACAGGCCACGCCACGCCACGCCCAGCCAGGCCACGCCCAGCCAGGCCGCAAGGGACCGACCGCCGTTACCTGTTGCTACCAGGTCGGGGATATCAAATTCAGGACCGCGGCAGCAGCACGTCGCCCACAACACGAGCACCAGCCTGGCTGCCTGGCTGCCTGGCTGCCTGCCTGCCTGGCTGCCTGCCTGCCTGCCTGGCTGCCTGCCTGCCTGCCTGCCCGGGGGGGAGGGGGGGCGGATCCTCTGGTTGCAGTTTCATTCCGCACCGCGCTCTCGTCGCTCTGTCTCACTCACACTCGCGACGAAGGGTTGGCAGCGGCGAGGGCGCGCTCACGGTGCACACACGGCGACACGGCGACGGGGCTGAAATGATGGCAGCCCGTCGATACCCCACGCCTGCTGCCCGACTTGCCCGACGCATGGGGCATGGACGGCCGCCGCTACTAGAACGGCGGCACTACCCCACGCACTGCGCGCACTGTGCCACCGCCCGACTAGAACCCCACACCCAACTCACTCACAGTGCTGGACAAGGTCCCCCACTCGCCCCCACTGCATGCTCGTCGTCCTCGTCCCACTTGCCCGAGCACGAGGGGCAAGGAGACAGTAAACACCCAGACTCTCGGTTCGCCAAAGACAGCCGCCACACACCTCACCTAAAAACACGCCAGTCACTCGTTCGCGTTCAAACCCGTCCCACTAGCGCCTAGAACTTGTGCACTGAAGTAACTTGCCCCCCGTCGCGACGCGTTGTGGTTTGCGTTGCCTGACTTCCCTGTGGGTTCGCAGGGCGGGCCGCGCCGCGCCTCGGAGCTGCCGGGGCTGCCCTCGCAGGCCTCGCCGCTCATCGTCAACCGCCGCAAGTCCGAGCTCCCGCCCAGGATCCCGAGGGAGTTCGCCGCCGAGGTGGCGGAGCTGGCGGCCGAGGCCGAGGCGGAGGCCAAGCGCCGCGACGAGGGCATCGTGTGCTCCAACTCGGACTTGCTGAACCTGTGCGGGGTGGACGCCCCCGCCGCGCCGCCGCCGCCGCCCGTGGTGGTGTCCGCCACGCCGTCGCCGCTGGCCGCGCGCCTCATCACGCTCCGCAACGACAGCGTCGAGATCAAGGAGGTGAAGGAGCCCAAGGAGCCCGCACGCAGCACCGTGCTCGTCAGCATGCGCGGCGACCGGCCGCAGTCCTCGCTCGCCGCCGCGCCGCCCCCGCCGCCCAAGGTCGTCATCGCCGCCCCCAAGGTCGTCGTGGCCGCCCCCAAGGTGGTCGCTCCGACTGCGGCCGCCCCCAAGGCCGCCCCCAAGGCCGTGGTCATGGCGGGCAAGGACGTCCCCCGGCCCGCCCCCGAGGGCGTCGACAGCAAGGCGTCCACGAGCGGTCTGGAGCGCCGCGACTCCGACAAGGTGATGTGGGACGAGCGGTCCGGGTCCCTGGTCGACGCCGGCGTGCTGGGCTCCGCCATCGAGGGCTTCCTGAACAAGGACGCGTCCGTCAAGAACAAGAAGGGCACCACCAACAGCGTCCACCGCGCCACGGCGCAGCTGTCGGCCTGGGTCACGGCGGTGGCCATCTGGAACCCCCGGGGCTCCCAGACCGCGACGCCCCAAACGGGGACGCCGCAAGCGGGGACACCGCAAGCTGGCACGCCCCGCGGCCCCACGCCCCAGGCCACGCCGCAAGACACGCCCGAGTCCACGCCGCGGCGACGCCCCAAGGTGTCCTGCGACGCCGTCTGCAGCACCCTCAAGAGCCTCTTCGTCAAGTAGGCTGCGTCATACCCTGCAAAAAAGTAATAAGTTGAAAAAAAAAGTGGAGCGAGCGCAATATTATACCTATTTTCGTAATAACAAATTAATTTTTTAAAATGTCGTCACAGTGAAGGCCACGGCCGCGGCTCAGGCCCCTCATCTTCCCGGCACAAGGGCGGTTGTGAGCAATGTAGGTGATTCGCTATTCGGTGTCCGCCGTGTCCGCCGTGGGCTAGTGGCGGCGCCACCATCGCCTCTCGACGAGTCGTAGACAGTGTCGCGGACAGGGTCTGCCAGGCAGTCTGCCAGGCAGTCTGCCAGGCACCCCAACTAGGCTTGAAGTAGGCTGAACAATTCCAAGGGGTCCGACGTCGCGAAATGCCCGGATGAGTGGAATTTCTCTTCGCGATACGTAAATGAGCTCAGATACCGGATATGAAATAGGCAACTCCCAGAAACTTACCGCGTGAGGGCAACTGCTTCGTGCCTACTTCCGGTGCTTCCGGCACTTCCGGCTCTTCCGGTACTTCCAGTTTCTCCTCTTCGCTGCCGCGGGTCGTTTCCCGCTCGGTCTATAAATACAAAACGAACGCGTGTACATAGTGTACCTTTACTTGTTGGGCCTACTTCGGGGGAAGATGCAGCGTTTTCGCACGGCGACGTGCGAGCAAACCTTTTTTCGCTTTTCGTGTGGACCATGACTACGGGGCCGCCGAGGGCCGTTTTTCAGACACTGCCTTGCGGATCGCCCACTTATTACGTAACTTTTTTTCTGTTTATGCCCTTGTTGCTCCTTATGGACTCCTCATGAGTGTGAGAGAGACAAGTTACGTAATACGTGGACAAGCCCTTGTGTGAGTCCAGGACGGGCGCCTGGGGTGCCGGGCGGCCCCGAAGAGACCAAAGTGAAAGATTGGAGGTGCGGCAAGTTGATGAAAAACTAGAATTATTTCGTTCAAAACTTTGTCTTACGATTCCTTCGTGTATATAAGATACAAAAATAAAATATGGCCGAGCTATAAAACATGTAGCAGGGGTTACACTTGTAGCAAAAGGCATGTTTAGAAGACGAGCACTACCCATCGTTTGAGTGTTATTTAGATGTTTAAGCTACTTCCCAAAAAAAAAACCTTCCCCCTATTATATTCGTGTACATCAGGCAGTGGCATTGAACCATATCTGACGAGGAGGCAAAGAAGTTTTCGAAGTCCTTCCTTCGTTCCTCTCCGACCATCGGCAGCCAGCCCCTGCTTGAGCATGTTAAATTTCTAGTTTGTTGTGTGTTGCAAATTTATGTAGTCTCGTAGGAGTGCTCCTCGACAAAGTACAGATATTTTACGATTTTTTTCCCCTTTATATCTTTGGCGGCTGGTCCCCTCTGAAACCAGAAATAAATGTACTATTTTATAGTTTTTAATATATTTTTCTCCAAATAGATGTATCCTATCGCTGAAAAGGTAAATGGAAGGTGAGCCAGGCGGAGAGTTCGGCTGATGATACCCTGGTCCCAGGAAGCGAGGCGACAACCCCTTAGTTCTGGCTCTGCCGGTGTTCAATGCTTCCCATGCGACACCAGATGTCACCTCTCGAGTGTATTTCAGGTGTGCCTTGCTAAGAGCAAGACATGCAAAAGTAAACGGGAGAGAAGAAAACGCTCTGGGCGGGGTTTGAACCCACAATCATGAGGACTAGCGGCGAAGACATTTGTCTGCCCCTAATGTAAATTTTACATTAAATTTTTAGTGTTTTTCATTAAATTTTAATCTCTTTGTGGTCCATGTAATTTTGTAGGTAAGGGTACTGACTGAAAAAAAAAATGATTGTGAAGAAGTGGGTGACCGTGGGTTGGACTGGGAACGTTTTCACATTTCTGCAAAGAACATGAAACGAAAGGCAGGTAGTTTTCTGTCGATTTAACCACGAGCGTACCTGAAGCCCCCTGAGTATGGCGTAGATTCTTACCTCTTTTTGTCTACCGTTCCGTCATAGGCAACCATTTGTCTCACATCCTGGCGATCATTTTTAGCTTATGTAACCAAAACTTTGACAATACGTCTCAATTATTTCGAGAGGAATTGCTTTTAATTTCTCGTTTCGCCGCGGCAACGCCCCACAGAAAGAAAGCCGGGGAGTTGGTGGTCGTTCCCTCTGCCTCCACCTGGCCAACAACAACAAGGCGTCAATGGGCGTGGGGCGCACTCGCGGGTCCACCAGGAACCACCCCGATCACCTCCTTCTTTCTCTCTCACGCGCGACGCTTATTCGAAGGCTGACTTACCGATCGAATTGGGAAAGTAATAGGCGACTGAAGCTAACTGTTAGGTTGGCAACGACTTCGTTCGTGGTCCCCGGCCGTTGCAAGTTGGCGGCCCTGGCTCTTGGAGTTTGCTCTGCAGCGCTCTGCAGGGATCCGGGGGGAGGTTCGTTAGCAATGCGTTTTATCGTTTTATCGCGTAGCTCGGAGGGCGACGCTTTCGACCTTTTTCGACCAATGGGGCGAGGCCTCGGGGAAACCTGGGGACTCCAAGCGAAGCGAGCAACGCCGCTGCGGTACAGTGCAAACCAAAATGTGTAGCGTGTTTCGTTGTGTTATTTTTCTTTGTGTGTGTGTCGTGTTGTAGAAGCGGACTGTTATTGATGTTATGAATGTGAAAAAAAAGTCATGTAGATTCTCAGTACGTAGCAGAATAACATAGGATGGAAACAAAATGTTTGAAAAATAAAAGAAGTGAAATAAACCGCAAAGTTCTTTCCTCCGAAAGAAAATTGCATTTCCGTTGGTGTTGTACGTGGCTGGGTCTGTAGATACTGATACTCCACCAAGGGATGGCCGCGGGTCGGTAGGGGGTATCCTGTGAAAAAGGTTGTCTTGTCGTACTGTACTTTGAGTAGCAGGCCTAGACTTTAAACTGGTTGTTCCTGAACCAAATCAAACTCCCTCTAACTGTAATTGTGCTCTCTCGAATTTTAATAGTTAAATAAAGAAACGAATAATGGACCCATCGTGTGTTTTTCTTCGTTTTCCCCGACAGCTAGAAGAGCGCGTCTGTGCAAACCGCGCGGCTGCCTCGCCTCGCCTCACAGTGGGCCAGAAGACCGGTGGCCGCGGCCAAAACTCTAGACGCGTTTTGAGCCCCAGCAGGCCTCGAACCGAACGTGTGACCCCACCAATGGATTCCTCGTTCTGAGAGCAATCCATTGGTGGGGTCACACGTTCGGTTCGAGTCCCAGTTAGCGACTCTAGAGCTCAAAACGCGTCTAGAGTTTTGTCCGCCGCCACCGGTCTTCTGGCCCACTGTGCGCCTGCGGTCCATAGCGCCCGCGGATTCGAGGATAGGCAACTCTGCGAAGCGCCGGCGCGCGGCGGGCTAGCCTACCCCCATTACCATTACCATTAGAGGCCAGACCACACATGATCGTCTGCCATTTCGGGCCCGACACATGCCCGCCTGCAATGCAAAACGGGGCATGGCCGTCCTAACTAAGGCGACGCTTTATCCCGGCGGTACCGCCGCGTTGGTGATCCGTGTAGCCAGACGGGAGGCAGAAATTTCCAAAGATGCACTGGTCAATTTCGCAGGGTAATCCCTCTCAGCCTGGCCAGTAGGTGACATGCGGGCTTCGCTCCTGAGAAGTTGCTTGCCCCTTGCTGAGGTTGGCAACCCTTTCGACATGGAATTTTTGAGGCAACTCTAGGATCAGCCTTCGCCACCCAGCCCAGCGGAGGCTTTTACAGGCGGCCGTCGAGCGAGCAACAGATGGCGCAGACGAGGCAGCGACCATCGGCTTGACCGAGGAGCCCTAAAGGCCGGGCTCTATAGTGGGCCGCCGCGGCCCAGTGCGCCGGCGCCGTGTATGGCGGGCCTAGGCCGGCCGGGCCCCGCGACGCGAGCCACGCCGCCGCGGCCGTCGTGTAGCGGTGTAGCGGTCCGGTCCGCGTGGAGCCAAGTCAAGTCGCGCCGCGAACGCCGCGGACGCCGCGACCGCGAACATCGACCTCCTGGCGGGCGTGCGCGCCGGCCACAACTCGCAGCCCCACAGCGCGCAGCGCTGCCTCGCGCCGCGACAAACCCCTACCAGTGTTGCCAACCCGGCCGGCGGCCAGGGCGAGACTGCCAGGCCGCACGGCGCGGCCGCACTGCGAGGCCCGCACTGTGCAGGAAGCAGAAATCCCAAGACCCGTGGGAGAAAGGAGAAAGGGGCGTTGCGCGCGTAGCGTCGCCACGCTAGTGGCCCCGACGAATGTGGTCGCCGGTCCACAGTGGGCCAGAAGACCGGCGGAGGCGGCCAAAACTCTAAACGCGTTTTAAGCTCCAGAGTCGCTAAATGGGCCTTGAACCGAACGTGGGACCCCACCAATGGATCGCTCTCCAAACGAGCAATCCATTGGTGGGGTCACACGTTCCGTTCGAGTCCTGCTTAGCGTCAGCGACTCTGGGGGCTCAAAACGCGTCTAGAGTTTTGGCCGCCTCCACCGGTCTTCGGTCTTCTGGCCTCCAGACACCGCGGCCAACATGTCTGGTGCGAAGAGAGGGCTAAGCTACCTAGCACTGCGATTCGTCATTCAATCTCCTCAGATGACGCTCGAACCACTCTAACGACCAATTGGTCGATTGATTGGTCGATTGATCTGAGCGTCGTGGGCAGACAGGTGTGGTTCGATGGGACTACGCACTTGTGCGATTGAATGGATTCTCAGAATTTCGATGATAAGAAAGATAAAATGATCAACTCATCCTGTTGAGGTTTCCGATTAAGGTCTGAGGCAGTTCCTTCTCTCAAGCAGACACGGGGAAGGCAGCAATAAAACGACGGAGTGTCATCAAAAAATAAAAGTTTTATTCAGTCAGACCGACAGTCAGATCCCAATCTCTAGCGACATTACACTTAGTTACATCACAGTTGGGAGCAGCAACAGGAAGAGAGCAACAAAGAGGGAATGCCACAAATTGTACTACATACAGGGATGCACATTCCTACTGCACTCAGAATAATGGAATAAATGATCATGCCCACATAGTTAGGTCACTAAAGTCCACATTCCAGAGGCTGAACAAAATTGAGCAGGATTTATCAACCCCTAAACTCCTTACATAGTGAAAATTTAATTGACTAGAAAGTAGTTCCAATCAAACAATGCCAATATTCAGCAAAAATTGAAAAGTTGTCTTAGGTATAAGATTAAAAATAGTAACAATTCATTTACAAAAAATACCATTAGAAAATAAAAACATACAACATTAATAGAACAAAAGAGTTCATGACTTGTGAAGGAAAGTAGATAAAAAGCATCTATTCCTACCACACACTTCAGAAATAAAAGAGCTATTAAAAATATTACAAACTTTGGCACAAGCAATCCAGGTTGCATAAATATTACAAACGGAACACAATTTAGCCTACACTCATTTGCATTACTAGTCTAACAGTGGTACTATATGAGTATCTATGAAAGAAGTATTGATATGCCAAGAATAGTGATCCATTCCATCAAATGAGAGAAGAGTTACCTTGCCAGCTTTGTCTAAAGTTTGAAGACCAAAACTGTCATTTTTATACAGAGGGTTTTCTCGCATTCCAAAAACTTCCTCGTTATCATTGTAGTAACCAAATTGACTGCAATCAAACAAGGGCCGGGATTAGTTGATACAATCCCATTAATTCACACTGTTTTCTGATTACTATCTTATTCTCTTACCTTGACTGCCAAGGTGTTATAACTCCGTCATCTGGTCCGCCAACAAGGACTAGTTTTTTTAGTTTAGTAAAACCTTTCTTGTAGTCCCTACTTGAGTTCGATTGGAGCTGATTGTTGATGTAAGGTAGAAATTGGCTGTATTTGAAAAAGAGCTCCTGATGGTGTGGGTCATTCCAATAATTGCCGACAGAGGTATGCTGCCCTACATACGAATAGAATAATTCGTAAGCATTGCGACACGTAAGATTGGGAAAGAAGAGGTGAAGAAACTTGGCTGTAAGTAGAAATTGAAGAAGTTAGACAAGTTATTGGCGACACACAAAAGTAATAAGCATGTTGTACTTACTCCCATACTGTCCCCCTTGAGGAGAGCTCAGGGATATAAAGGTATGGACATTGTGTTCAGGAAACTTTCCGAGAATTGCTCTCGATAGCAAACCTCCCTGAGAGTAACCTAGAAAAAAAATCACATTGTTACGATGCGTTTTATTTCCGAATATGATAGTTAATGCACATCAGACTAAATACCTCACCTATAAGATTAACTCCTTCTGGATGATCGGCAGATATAGACAGCAAGTCAGCACCCATCTCATCCACCTGGCGCCACATTGGTTCGAGACTAGACCAGCCAGAAAAGCGGTCAGTTATGTAGACAGAAGTGCCTGGGTGAAGCTGCAAAAATAAATGGCAAAAACATAGCAGAAAGACGAAAAAAAATAATCGGACAGCACCAAGGAGTTGGCCATGGCGTCTGATAACAACAACATACCTGGGCAATCCGCTCAGCGATTGGGATCATGGATAATTTCCCAGTCATTACTCCATGAATCAACACTACTGGCTTGTAAGCAACTACCAAAGATAAAGAAGAAAGGGCCAAGAGGAACAGCCTCAAGAAACCTTCCGTGCCCTTCATTGTGGCACTATCTCAGCGTCGCTATTTTTCAAGGCAACGTGCCCCTACAAGGAAAAACACTTCACTGAAAACAAGCAGAACAGTTCAGCCTTCAAACCTAACCTCGCATCCTAGCAGTGCAGCCACCAGTGCAACGAGAACTTGTAGTTCGGAAAACTGAAGGTCTTGGCGAAAGGGGTCATGTGACGTACCCCAAGTTGAGACTTGGAACTTATTTTTTTCTGTAAGAGGGGGAGATTCCGCGAGTCCAAGGTACATGTAAACCAAACACTGTGTGACGTCAGCGGCGTGGCGGTGGCGGTGGTGGCAGTGCCGGTACGCGGACGGAAAATAAACAAAAGACCCCAGCAGAGATGGCGTCACTTCGTTGATGTCTGTCTCTGCTTTAATTTTCTTGTGCATTTTTGGTACATTTTCATCATGGGTTCGGCAACATGAAGGCCTTTTTGAAGGTTTTCCGCCTCGGCTTCGCGTCTGACGCCCGATCCGTGGTCGCGAGCCCCAGCCCCACGACCTCTGAGAGAAGGTAACTAGAGCTGAGGTTAGGGAGTGTATTGACCCTCTGGTTTTTAAGCGTGTTGGTGACTTGGTGACATTGAATGTACGCCCTTTTGTCTGCTGTCAAGGTCCTCGTTCTAGTTTATGAGACGGTTTCCAGTTGGAACAGGGCGACGGACTGGGCCTCTTACACTTACACATTAACCCCTAAAGCTGGGTCCGAGGCAACTGGGCCCCAGCCCCAGGCCCCTGGGTGGGCCCCAGGCCTCACAGTGGGGGTGGCTCGCTCACGCAGCTCACGCTCTCGGGCCCAGCTGCGTTGGTCTGCAGTCTGAACATGTCTGCAAACGCTGCAAACGCAAAGCCTGCAGACCCACAGACTCAGACGGTTACGCTGGCCAATGGGGACGTTGCGAATGGGGCGGTGGCCAACCGTATTTGTTCAGGTACGGCACCGTCCGCCTCTGTAGCCGCCTTGATTATTAACTGGTTGCACTGCTTATTTTTCATTCTGTTGCGTTAGTTTCTGCCCTTGTTCGATACCCCCTCTCGTTTCACATTGTCATCATCATCGTTCAAGACCACCACCGTTCTCTGACCACTTTGTTGGGGGGAAGGCCTGGCAGGGGTTAAGCCATTATGTTGGAAACATTAACAACATTTATGACAAAAGTAATTTTATTTTAATTTGTGCTGTATGGAAACGAACTAAAGTTGAGAAATTGTTCTCTCACATACACATATTTTGCCCTCCTATCTTCTCATCTGAAACTTTCTTGATGGTTTCCATCTTCTAAGGAAGAAAAAAGAATGTTTCAGAAGATCCTCTTTAGTCTGTCTCTGTCCCTTGAATAAAATTCTGCATTGCTTCATGTAAGGCTAGCCACTTTCTTTGCATTTACGAGGACATGGTTGATATGCTGAAATTATTGATGGAATTTGGTACTAACCATTTTTAGGTAATTGAGCAATAATCCATTTTAGTTGCAAGTTAGTCTAGATTTAATTTTTTTAAATGTAACCCTCATGTTGTACATCAAAACCCAGCTTGGTTTTTTTTTTTTTTTAAACCATCTTTATTTTTGCCCATAGCTCTCGAATCAGCTATATATTTGCACTGTTGTCTTTGTAAATGTGCTATTTGGAACATTTCAGAATCCTGCAGACTTATTTTTTTTTTTATTTTGAAAAAATCTGAATTTTGTAATAATTGAATGATTGGTTACCTAAGGCATGTGTTGTGTAGGTGTTGCTGGCTGCAATTTGGGTTTAATAATGATATCACTAATTTAATCACATATCACATGACAATTTATTAATCCTCCAGCTTTAATAAATGATAAGAAATGATTCTGCTTTTTACCTGTCAGAAAAAAAAAAAGATACAAAGGCACATGTTTGCTCTGCATGGTTGAACGTTTTCTTTTATCGTTGATTTTTGAACTTGCAATATAAGCACAGTTGAGTTTTGATTCTCGTCAATTATTTAGTTGATATAATAATTTGATTCTGTTCTGTTTCAGTTCTTAACACAATTGTCAACAAGATGAGCAACATGAAGGGGAAAGACAGCCTAATGAAGATGCTGCTGGCAGCAGGCCCTGCTAGTATCACAATTTCATCAGGTCCTTCGACCCAAAATCCAAATTTTACTGCCTCGGGCAGCACCAGTACATCTTCCTCGTCAACTCTGACCAGTCCCATGAGTGACCAAGTTGAGGAGTATGCTGCCTATCGTAGCAGCAGCTATCTTAAACAGTTAACCAGTCACAATGTGAGTAGAGTGTAGCTCTGGACTTGTTTTTTAAAATGTTTTGTGAACCACACTTTAAAGCCTGGTGCTGTTTATAGGACCAAGAGGTTACTCTGGTGGAGATGGACCACCCATACGCCCATCCATGGAACTGGCGACCGGACAATGTCAAAGCGAAACCTGTCCGGTCATTGTTTGTTTACCAGTCGCCAAGGAAAGCCCAAGAGTAGGTTTCTGATACTTGACTGTATTTCTAGTATTTGTAGTGTTATTTTTAAAAGTGATATTAATTCATAATTTTTTTGCACAGTGTCAAAGAAATTGATGTTGAGAGGCCCCCTCTTCAACCTCAACCTGTTTATGATCCATCTAAAGCACGTTATTGCATGGATGAATGTGAGCGATTTGTAGCCAGTGCTCGCCTTGGGGATGATAAAGAAAGTGCTGAAACCGATTGGGAGGAGAAAGTTTCAAGGTGAGCAATATATTGTGTTTAATTTCAAGCCTGCCCTTTCCAATTACCCAATACAATACTTATCCCATGATATATGTCTTACCACAGATTTGGCTGGAGCTCAATACAGAATCGCCTTTTCAACAAAATGGCACGTATTCTGTATACAGACCAGTTGTCTCATCTAGCAAATTCTGGTCACTGGAATGAACCAGTTTTAAGAAGAATCTCTGTCGACAAATCATCTCGAAGAGTTCGGGCTCTTTTTGCCTCCATATCATGGGACCTAAAACTAACTCAATGGTTACATGCAACATTAATAGACTCTCTCAGTGCAAGATATTTGTCCTCATATTTCAACATTTTACAGGTTTGTGCCTAGTAATTAAAATATTTATTTTAAATGTTTATTTTGCCTCTAAGATGTTTTGCTTTCTTCCTTTTTGAAGAATTTGAAAAACAAAGTTCCTACACTGGTTGATAAAATGATGTCAGTAACAACGTCCCTTGGAAGAACGGGGCTGTCATCAAACGAAGGTATTAGCCATTTAATAAAACGAGTCTGGGATCCTGCTACATCTGGTCTATCAAGATTCAGACTGGTAAGCTAAGCTGAACCTTGTATATTATGTTATTTGTGGTTAAACAAGTTCTAACATAGATGTAATTTTATTTCTCTTTTGTTTCCCCCCCTTCTTTTAATAGCGGAAACTTCCTGCCAATCCAATTATTGTAATTGTACCATCTGGTCCGGGCAAAGCTTACAAACAATCATCCCGTTCCACATATTGGACCACTCATCTTTCTGCTCTTGGTACTGTTGTCACTGTATATACTGGTATGTTCCAAACTAAAGTTTCTTCACATACTATCTGCTGCCCTACAAGTGTCAGAGTGAAACTAATTTTCTTTTCTCTTAGGGCAAGTCAATGGAAAGACAACTCTATCCAGTTGCTTAGATCAGTTGCTGACTACAACTCGTACTAAAATATCAGAACTTAAGGCTGATTGCCCTGGCAGGCCCATAATTCTTGTCGGTTGGAACACAGGAGCAGCTCTTGCTTGTCAGGTATTACACTAACTTACCTTTCTAGAAACATGCAAAAGTGCAATAAATTTTCAGAGGTACAGTGCTTATCTCTTTTTGTTATTTTTTTTATTTCCAGATCTCTATGATGGACAGTGTCACTGCAGTTGTATGCCTGGGTTTTCCCTTGTGTACAGTAGAGGGAATACGAGGAGAACCAGATGACAATATTTACTCAATGCGATGTCCTATTTTATTTGTGATTGGTCAGAATTCAGCTACCACTACGTAAGTTAAATTTGAAAACTATTTTGTATTTTAAGCTTGTTCCATGAACAAAAGCAATGTATTAACAATATGCTCTTATTGAATGTAGGGTTGAAGGTCTGGAGGACATGCGTAGCCGTATGGCTGTTGATACTGGTCTAGTTGTGGTTGGCTCTGCTGATGACCAGTTGCGGATGACAAAAACTAAGAAGAGACTGGAAGGAATAACTCAAAATATGGTGGATCGGTGTATTCTTGTACGTATGACAGGTGTTGAATTAACATCAGTTGTCAATGTGAAGAGGAAAATGTCTACAGCATTCATGTTTCTGTTTAGGATGAAGTCAGTGACTTCTTGGGGCCGATACTTGCCCAGGCCAGTTCCAGACAAGCACAGTTCTACCAGAACAATGCCCTGAGTGAAAGTACAAACATTATTCCCCATCCGGTACCACCAAGGCCAGGTCCAGGGCGTCCTCCAGGTAGTGGAAAGGGACAACGCAAGAGGAAGGCATCCGGGGATAGCTCACTTGACAGTGACTCTGCAACTCCAGCTTTGAAACGAGCTAGAACTGGTAATTAGAGCTCTATCAATTAATACCACCCTTGTAGGATGTAGGAGCAGTATTATCACATCGTAATTTAGTGCATGTTGGGCTATCATTAAATCTGTACTACTTGTTTGTCTCATTGTAGATGGTTTGTTCTTCGTATTCTATGGTTTCATGGGAGATTGTAAACCCTTTTTGCTTCTTGATCTTTATCTCGTTGTTTTATTTTCTTTGATGTTTTTTTGTGTGTGTTGAGCACTTTGGACTGTTGTTTCAGGCATGCCTTTGACTATTTGTGGGCCTAGTAGTTCTGCTGCTGCTAAGCAAGCACTGCCCACAATGCCAACCCTTGTTTCATACTCTGACCAAGGTAAAGCCAAAGCCTTGCTGTAATTTTTTTTTTTTTTTTTGCCTCTAAAATTCTATTTGATCACACACCGGTACAAGTTTTATAACTTGCAACAATTTTTCTTTTTTTTACTGTCACTGCGCTTTATGGGTAGCCAAGTGAAATGAGTGTCTGCATCTTAAGTTCGTTTTTTTCTGATGATGCTCTTTAGTTAGAATGTCCTTTTTCCCTGTGAAGTACACTGCCTGAGGGGATTGAAGACATTGGATGTCTATTTTCAGGCCGTAGAAAGGGGTCCTCCTCGTCTCAGCCCAAAATGGTCATTAGCTCTGTTAATTTCACTCCTGCCTCTGACAGTAAGTGGCAAGCCAATCTGGCTGGAGGCCGCCCTGTCACCGCAAGCTTGTCTCAGGTACAGCTTTTAACCTGGCTCATGGTTTTGTCTTGTTAAATTTCCGCACAACAGTTATGAAATGTGTGTTGTGTTGCAGTCAACATCAACAAATTCCATTACATTCAGCCTTGGAAACATTGCAAGTCTCGGAAACATCGGTCCAATACGATTGGGTCCGGGATCAGCCCTAGCAGATGCCTTGTCTTCAGCGAAGAAGGTGTCTGCTAAAGCAAAACAGATTCCGACTGACAAGGCAAACCCATCTGAAGGGTCCTCCACAGGAGGTGAGTTCTTAAGTCCCTTTGAATCAGTGTGCAATGTTTTGTTTGGCTTTACTTAACCAATTTGTTTCTCTGGTCCCTAGGAATGCTTCAGATGCAATCAGGTAAAGTGATTGCAAGCAGGCCATCTACTCAGTCGGGACTGACCCAGTTGACCACCCTTCTGCAAACTAGTGGGAACACAACACGGCTTGTAGCAGCTCCAGCCGCATCAAGTATGATGACGACAGCTGCAAACAACAGTGGCACAACAACTAGCAGCGCGTCTGGTGTCATCTACTCGTCTGTTGTCAATGGTCAACCTCACTTAAAGCAGATACAGAGCCATCCTCAACTTCTTCATACTCAGCAACAGCAGATTACTGTGTCCCAAGCTCAAGCACAGCTCCGAGGTAAGGGGCAACCTAGGTTTCTTGTCATTCAAAGCAACAAACGCAAATTTAATTAGTGTTTTTGGTTTTGCATGGTTCTTTGCATATAATTGATTCCATTTCTAACACTTGGCCAAACAATTTGACTCATTTTTTTTTTCTTTCGATTAATGTTTTCCTGTTTTGTTTCTATTGCAATTGTTGTATAAAGAAGGCTAGACAAGATAGATCTTGTGTTTTGCATGTAGATGTAGAAGTTCTACTGTCTTTCAATCAGAGCAAACCAGTAACAGTATTATTTTGCACTCAGATTCTTACACAACAGTAAACTTGGAACATAGAGTTGCAAATCAAAACAATCTTTTTCATAGGGAGTTTTTTTACCATTTGTTAATTTTGCTTGTCATAACATGGTCATAATTGTCCACCAAAGAAATAAAATGTTACCAGTGTTACCATTTGTATCGAAAAATGAGTTTGTCTCATTCTTAGGGTCATCATTCAAAGTACACAATTTCGGTAATCTTACTGTTCCAACTATGTTGCACTCAATATACTGAGAGTTTTCTCTTCTCTTTTTCATAAAATGTTGAATATGCAATCCTGTGTGCTTGTAGTGTTATTTAGAAAGTGAGTTTTCATAGATAAATTTATTTTCTAAGTTTGCTGTTTTTCTTTTTTTTTTTTTTCTATGTATGCCATTTTTCTGGTTTCATATTTTGGAATAATGCTATCAAAGGTTTCTAATTGTAATGAATTTCCACACCCTCCCAGTTATTGACTCGTGTCAAGAAGGGTATTGATGAGATTTTCTAATAATCCTGTGAGATCCTTGCTCTGTTATGATCTGTAAAGCATGTTTCCATGCTTTTTCTGCAAGTAAACAACTTTGCAAGTGATGAAATTTTTCTGCTTTCCCTCCAAGTGAAAGAAAAATGTTATACAAAGCATAATGTGATATCAAAAGATTTCTTATCTTTTATCTGATCGTTTATACTTACTTCAGAGCCCCTTACTTAATCTTTGTAGCTCTAATAGGTAGTCATTGCCACATCAATAAGATTGTCCTATTTCTTTCCCCTTTTTTTTGTGTGTCTGAAGATTGATCGTTTTGAAGTGTAAATAATTGTTTTGTAAAATAAAATAGTTCTTGCTAGTTTATTGGTGTTCTCTTTTTATTTTTCTGTAGTTTGTTTTCTTTTTGTGAATGATTGGAAATGTAAAGAGGTGTGTTATCATTTGGAACATTGCTTCAGCTGAAAAACATCCTGAATCAAGTACTCATCGCGCAGTAACCATCGCGTACCAGACAAAACCTTTTTTTTTTCTCTTAATGTCCTATTTTTATTACGTTTTGGAGCTCTCTCTGCTTTTATTGAAGACTATTGGGACCATACCTGACAAACATGTTTCTAATTTACTCACACTGCTTCATTGCAACCCAAAATCTCAATAGATGCAAGTTACTTTGTTTTATATAGGGAAGTGGAAACATGGTTCAACAGTGTGCTCCAAATGGTCCTCACCTTTTCTTTGCTACCAGTTTGTAGGATTGGCCTTTTCCTCTAGTAGTTGCGAACAGTAAGTATGTGTTAACTTCTTCCTTTATTTTTTAAAAGGTTGTCATGGTACTTAGTAGTTATCTGTTGGCATTAAAAGTCAGTTTCACGTAACATGTTTGGATTCTTGTAGCTTTGTGTCTGATTTTGGATAGTAGCTTCCACAACATTTGAATGCCATATTTTATTGTACTAACATATTTCCCATCTTTTTCTTTGTGCTCTTCTCTAACCACCTTTAAAAACCCAAGGAAGACTTTCCATACAAACTGTTTCTCTTATCATGTGACAACATTTATTATTGAAACTATTTCTTTCCCTTCTAGCGGTACAAAAAGAAACAACTTTTCCACTACTTTCAACTTCCATTTCGTTTTTGTTGGTTTTTTCTTAATATCTTTATATATATATACGTACCATTAATGAATTTTGCAGTCACATAGGAAACCTAAATTCTTCTCGGAATGAAACTTGATTCCCAAACAACGTCTGAAGTAGTTGAAAGGTGTGAACGATCGTGCGGTTTAAGACGTGCCGCCGTGCCGGCTTGTTGCAGACACCTCGTCCTCTGCCGCAGCAAGTGCGACCGGCCTGACAGTGCGCAGCGCCGTGACGAGTGACCAGCTCACGGCGGAGCACATCATGAACCTGCCCGTGCTGTTCGAGTCCGACTACGCCGAGTCGCACGCCGCCGACACCCTGGTGACGGGGGAGCAGGCGGTCCGCGCCGTGCGCGCGCTGCAGACCAAGGCGCAGGCGCCTGACGCGCCAGCGAACCCCGTCAAGCTGGTGATGAGCCGACCGTCGTCGTCCGCCTCCATGGAGCTGGTGCTGAGCCCCACCGCCTCGACGGCGTCCACCGCCACCACGGCCTCCGTGCAGCCCGGCTCGTCCGTCAAGATGCTGGGCTTCGTGAAGCGGCCCGTGGTCGTGCCCGGCTCGGCCGCCGCGGCCGGGGGGACGCCCTTGTCGGTGTTCCGGCCGGTGGTGCGTCCCGCCGGCGCCGCCTTGCCGCCAGCCCAGGCCACGACCACGCTTCGCGTCCGCGCCCCCGCGCGCCCCGTCGGCCGGCCCCCCAACGCGGCCACCGCGGCCCTCAGGGTGGCGGCGGCCGCCGCCGCGCCCGTCGCCACCATCGCCAGGGCCGCCTCCGTGGCGCTGCCCGCCGCCTCCCCCGCGACCCGCCCCGTCGGCCGGCCCCCCAAGGTGCACCTGCCCACCGGGAAGGCGACCCTGGTCAAGGCCGTGCCGCCGCGCACCATCCATAACGGCATCAAGGTGCGGCCCGCCGTCGTGGTCCCTGCGACCTCGGCGTCGGCCTCTGCCGCCGCCACGGCCTCTGCGACGGCCTCCACGACGGACCCCGCCACGGCCTCGGGCGTGCATGTGACCACCAGCCTGGTGCGCCACCCTGTGCTGGACTCCCCGTTCGGCGCGCAGGCCGTGCAGGCCGCCGGCCAGGGCCAGGGCCAGGGCCAGGCCGCGCAGGGGCCGAGGGTGTTCATCGCCCCCAACAAGCGGGGCCGTGGCCGCGGCGGCCGCGCCTCGTAGTCGCCAGTCGCCGCCGGAGCGGCAAATCTATTTTAGTGTATGATTTTAGAGACATGTTCGTTGACACCCCTGCAGGCACGCGGGCTTTGGTTTCTGTGATAAATCGAACAAATAGTTTTTAAAAGAGACGAAAAGATGGTTGCCGTGTGGAAAATGTGTTAGACTAGTTTTGAGAATGTTGTGGGAAGGTCATCGATCTGTCAACAATCTGCATTGCAATGCAGTGGTTGTGCTGACTCCGTCATGGAGCACCATAGTTGTGAAGCGTGTAGATAATTTTTATTTTGTTTTACCTAGACCAATATTTGAGCGCTTGAACACTTGGTATCCACAAAAGAAAGATTAGTTCTTAGTAGGAAAAAAAACGTCTGTGGTCTTGATCTCAGTACGATGTATATCATAGTGTAATGTCAATATCAGAGACTGAAATGTTTGTTTGTCTTGATTTAAATGGTGAAGCTTGTTTACTATTTCTATGGCAATTATTATGTTGCACTTAGTACAATGCCAAATTTTTATTGTAGTAGAAAGTTTTGTTGTTGATTATTTTTAAACTTTTAGGTGGAATTGGTTATTAGATAAAAATAATTATTTGGCTTGTGTTATTGCTTTGTCTTTCTCACCTAATTGTGATACATTAGCCAAAGTACCTATTTTTTTTTTCATTTTATTGATATTTTATTTGGTTCAATTATTAATAGATCATCTGTGATCTGAAACATTTCTGTTTTTGAAAGAGAATCTGAATTTCTAATTTGAACTTGTAATGATACACTAATTTCATTCTTTTACTGTCTCGTGTTTTAAATTCTTTAAAAACAAATCCGGTTTGCAGATTTATTTTTAATTATTGCTAGTCAGCAGTTTGTGTTCAATTGTGTGTGTTTTATTTGCATACATCAATTTTTATGCGTAACAATGTCAGGATCCAATCTCGCCTTGTTGTTATGGCCTATGCTGTTAGACAATTTGGAGCGGGGGGCTTCCAATATACTTGGCTTCCAACAATCTGTCGTTTTAATTTTACATCCCCATACCTCTCCTCAGGGTCAGAAAACAGTGTCACCAACACAAAACGAAAGATCTAAACACGCGCGTGCAGTAGCGTGCAGGAGTGCACGCACGCACGGTGCTTCGGCACGCGAGCAGCAGTTTGGGAACGGGATTGAGAAGTCCTTCGAAGTTCGTCGTGATTGCCGGAAAGTTGGAGCATAAAAAAGAAAAACTCGAACCAATCCGATAACAATTTAACACTACGTTTATTATTATATTATTATGTACAAATAAATTATCACAAGTTACTGGGCCTCGCGAGCCAGTGCGTCACACCTAGTCCGAGTGCGACGATGAGGTTTTAGCGCAGCAGCGCAGCTAACAAGACGGGTCGCCTCGCCACAGCACGGACGTGTACACGATTTGGGATAGGTCCGCCAAGTGACCGCCGAGCATCAGATAGAGAGAGAGCGAGAAGAAGCCCGTGCGCGCTGCTTCTACCAACACACGCCGTTGAGCCTCTCCTGTTGTCACCTTTTCTGGCCACAAAATCTATCGATTCGACGCCGAACACGCATCCCAGCGACAGCGACCCAACAGAGCAATGCCGCGCGGGGCTTTGTCGCTCTGCTGGCTCTGCCTCTCTCGCACCCCCACGGGGCGCCCCGAGAGCGAGGCAGGCAGAGCGACGGGACCGCTGCTCGGAACAGGCCCGCCTTCGGGGTCCTCGCGTCCACGGGGAGGGTCATCTAGGCGCGCGGGAGGCGGCGTTGGCGGGCCTCTTGGGCGCGCAGAAGAGACTCTCCAGCATCCAGGTGAGGCCCGTGAACATGGCCAGCAAGGTGAGGGCGTGGATGAACACGGGGAAGCTGCCCGTCTTGTCTCGGACCACGCCTGCAAGCAGCAAGCAAGACAGGGCTGTTCGTGTTCGTTCTGCAGAGTTGGGTTCAGGTTCAGGCGGCGTAGTGTAGGTAAGGTAGGCACTTGACTCACCGAGAGCGGAGCCCAGGCCCAGCACGCAGGCGCCCTTCACGACCATGGCCATGCCGATGGCGGCGGGCAGCTTGCTGGCGGGGACGTGCTCGGCCACCACCAGGTTCTGGTTGAGCACGGTGGCGCCGCGGAACAGGCCGACGACGGCGGACAGCGCCAGCAGCTCGGTGAAGCCCGTCATCGTCGCCATCACTGCAAAACGCCCCAAAAATATCGAAAACATTCGCAGAGAAAGCATGTGAAAATACAGGTGACGCTGGCGGGGCTCGAACCCGTGACTGACCGGAGCGGCTGCCCGCGCTGCCCAGCGCACCGACGAGCATGACGGTCCGGGCCGCCAGCCCCGAGTGGTGGCCGCCCTGGCCGCCCTTGCGGCCCCTGCGACACGCGCTGTCGCACAGCGCCCCGCTCATGAGCGACGGCAGCAGCAGCCGCGAGGCCAAGTCCCCCACGGACTGCGCCGACATGCAGGTGGCGGTGGCGGCCGCGCTCAGACCCACGCTCTCCATCAGGAAGAAGGGGAAGATCATGGAGAAGGAGGTCTGCGTCGTGTAGATCTGCGGAGGGAGCGTGTTACAGTGGCGCGGCGGGGCAGGCCTCCCCACTTCGTGAGGAGGGAAACGTCGCGTTGTTCGGAGAAAATTGCCGCACTTTTAGGGGTTCGACGCCCGACTTTGCCCTTGAAAAGTTTGCCTTGCGCGCTGGATAGACTGATTCCTAGCAGACGGCTTCGTCGCTCTGTCTCTCTCGCACTCGCGAGGCGCTCCGAGGGGAGCGAGAGAGACAGAGCGACGTGCCGTCGTACCGCCCGCTGCTTGTGCAATCAATTCGGCGACTGCACGTTGCAGTGCACGTCGCGTCGCATGCCGGGCGGCCTGGCCGGGCCTCGAAGGGAAGGCAACGCGCGCAACGCGCCCCAACAGGTAACCAGGCATCGGACTGGACTCCCAATCGTGATATGCCTGACGGCCAGTCAGGGCGTATCTTATCCTCGCTGGCCTTGAGTTATCGATGTGGCCGGGTCAGTTCGTCGTTCGTCAGTTCGGCCGGGCGTCCCCGTCACCGCGGCGCGCATTGCCTGCGTTGCGCACTGCACGTCGCGTACCAGCCCAGTGCCGACGGCCAGGTTCATGAAGCGGAGGTTGACGAGCAGGTCCAGGCCCAGGCTGTCGGCCAGCTTGTGCATCGCGCCCAGGACGCCGCGCCGCTCGCAGCGCCGCTCCTCCTCGGGGGAGGCCTTGGTGGGGTCCAGCAGGTGCTCGACCTTGGACTCGGCCTTGGTTTCGGCCTTGACCGGCAGCGCTGACGCCGCCGGGGTCGCCGGGTTGAGGGGCTGGGTCTCGTTGGGCTCCTCGGGGTCGCCGGGGTCCCTGGCGGGAAAAGCATGTTGTTGTGGCTCGGTATGGTGTTAGGTTCGGACAGGGCAGGAGGGCCCTCGATTCGCACTAATCGGCTTCGAGTGTGGTGGGCCGGTGCATGAGCTGCGTGACTGCGTCGTGTGGCCCGGCACGTCGGCTAAGCCGAACAAGCCGACAAGAACCGCGTGGCGTTCGCGAACCGCCGATCCGTCCACAAGGGCGCCGCCCGCCCGGCCCGCCCGGCCCGCAAAGATATTGGGCTCTTCGCCAAAGCCAGTGACTCCACGCCCTATCAGTCAAGTGCCGGCAAACCCGTCGCGCGGAACAAACTTTCAAAACAAACCTTTCAAAAAAACTTGTAAAATTGGGATGGTTTTGGGAATGGCGTACTACCTGACGAGGACCGGCTTGCGGTAGAGCAGGCAGCCCGGCAGCGAGTGCAGGGCGATGGCGCCCATGATGAGGACGGCGCTGTGGAAGCCGTACTGCTCCAGCAGCAGGCGCACTAGGTGCGGCATCAGGATCTGGCCCAGACCCGTGCCGGCCAGCGCGATGCCCACGGCCTGGCTGCGGCGCGTCGTGAAGTACGAGTTGATGTTGAGGAAGGTGGAGGGCACCAGCAGCCCCAGCCCTAGGCCTGCAGAGCGCACGTGGTCAAGTCACTCCTCGCGGGACGCACAGTGGGCCAGAAGACCGGTGGAGGCGGTTAAAAATCCCGGACGCGTATTGAGCTCCAGAGTCGCTGTATGAGACTCGAACCGAACGTGTGACCCCACCAATGGATTGCGCTCCGAACGAGGAATCCATTGGTGGGGTCACACGTTCGGTTCGAGTCCTGTTTAGCGACTCTGAAGCTCAAAACGCGTCTAGAGCTTTGGCCGCCTCGCCTGCGTCGGTCCTCTGGCCCGCTGTGGGGCGAGGGAAGGGAAGGGGAGCTGGGTGGCGAGTCGTACCAACCAGGAAGCCCCACGTGATGAAGATCTGCCAGGGGTCCGTGGCGAAGTAGGACAGCATCATGCCGGACGAGATGAGCGCGCCGCCCAGCAGCGACACCGCCTTGCCGCCCAGTCGCTTCACCATGGGCCCCACCAGCAGGCCTGCGCCAAGCGTAGCCGTAGCGTCAATAGCAGCGCGGTCGCGTGTCACGCGGCAGCCGCCGGTTCAACTCCCCAAGGGGGGCTCATTCCTTACTGCGTTTACCCGCTCTGCCTCGCTCCGCACCCATACGCGGAGTCTCGTGAGTGCAAGAGAGACAGCAACGGCCGGCAACGCACCTGAGAAGTTCTGAATGGTGTTCATGGTGCTGCTGATGACGGCGATGCCCGTCGTCTCCAACCCCCAGGCCTCCAGCTGGCCGCCGAACAGCAGGCCGAACACGGAGAACAGCGCCATGTTGGTCATCTGGAAGGGAGCCAGCACGTGGCACAGTGGGCCAGAAGATCGGTGGAGGCGGTCGAAATCCCGGGCGCGTTTTGAGCTCCAGAGTCGCTAAATGGGACTCGAACCGAACGTGTGACCCCACCAATGGATTGCTCTTCGAACGAGGAATCCATTGGTGGGGTCACGCGTTCGGTTCGAGTCCTGCTTAGCGACTCTGGAGCTCAAAACGCGTCTAGAGTTTTGGCCGCCTGCGCCGGTCTTTCTAGCCCACTGCGCGTGGTGACCACGGCGAGCACGGCGCCTGCCAGGACCGGGGTAGGCCAGCCCGCTGCACTCCGCGGCGCGACGGGCCGGCTGGGCGCCGGGCGCTCTGCCCTGCCCGCGCCTAGCCCAGCCTAGCCGCGCCGGTCGAGTTGTTGTTCCGACTCGGTTTTTGACAGGGTCCGAGTTGGAGTTGTCGCAAAGCGTCCGACACCAGAGTACACACTAGAGACTCCCGCGGACGGGGTGACCGTGACAAGGCCGACGAGGCCAAACCGCTGGCCGTCCACTTTGGCTGGAAGGGCCGGGCCTTTTTGGCCGGTGGAGTGCGCCTCGCTGTCCCATGATAGTTTAACGATTCATAGTGTAGGTGCGTCTGTGTGTGTAGGTGCTCTCGTGTACTACGATGTACGTGCGTGTGAAGCCAGTCACAAGCCGGCCGATGGCTGGCCGATGGCAGTGTGACGGGTGTGACTCATTTGGGGTCGCTAATCAATTCTGTCGCGACGGGCCTGCTGCCAGCCTGCTGCCACGGTGGTGTGAGAGTGGCGGAAGACTGTTGTGGCAATGGAGGAAGGAGGGAGGGGAGGGGTAGGGTCGTCAGAGTCAAGTGTCGAACGCCCTAGGGGACGATCGAGTTGGAGCGGGCGACGCGCAATACGTCAATCTGTCTTTCTGTGTGTTTGTGTTTTGGACGTGTGTGTTTGTGAGTGAATGTGTATGTGAGTGAGTGTGTTTGTGAGTGACTGTGTGAGCGTAAGCAAATACGACTATGTGTACGAGAGGCGTGTGTGGGTGAATGACTTGTGTCTGTGAGCCAATTGATTCTAGCCGGCCGTAAGCACCACCCCCTCGAGCGGGGAATTCCGGTTCGAGAAAGTGACAATCACCGAGGTGGCCATGGTAACGCGCGCGGCGTGATGGCGCGGTCGGCGCGATGTGGTTGGCGGCCGTCGTCGGCGCCCTCGCGGTACTCACGTAGGACACGGCGACGCCCAGCACCACGACCCAGCCCCAGCCTCCGTTGGGGGGCCGGCGCGGCGGCCGCTCCAGCTGCTTGTCGCTCGCGGGTCGCATCCTGCTCGCGCCCATGGTGGTGGTGATGGCGGTGGTGGTCGTCGTGGTGGTGGTCGTGGTGGTGGTCGCGAGGCCGAGAGTCGCAGTGGACGAGGCGGGCGGCGCTGCGGCGCTCTCCTCGGCGTGCCCGCGGGATGCAAGCGCCGGTACTGTCACTGGTCCCCTCCCGAACGGCTGCCTGTCGGGCTGTCCGGCCGTCGACGCCGTGCCCTGCCTGCCAGCCCTGCCTGCCAGCCCTGCCTGCCCCGCCAGTGCCGGGCCCGCCGGGCCTGCCGCCAGATAATCGCACTTGGCCACGTGCTCGCGAGAGGCGGGGCCGGCGGGGCCAGGTCCTGCCGGCCGAAGCCGATCGCGCTCCGTCTCTCTCGCACCCGTGCGGCAACGCCCCGTGGGTGCGAGAGAGACGGAGCGTGTTGGGAACGGTTCCGCTGCCGCCCTCGCGCTCTAATGCGCGCGATTAGAGAGAGGGAAGTCCCGCGGCCGCCGCTCCACAGTGGGCCGGAAGGCCGGCGCCGGCGGCCAAAACTCTAGACGCGTTTTGATCTCCAGAGTCGCTAAGCAGGACTCGAACCGAACGTGTGACCCCACCAATGGATTCCTCGTTCGAAGAGCACTCCATTGGTGGGGTCACACGTTCGGTTCGAGTTCCATTTAGTGACTCAGGAGCTCAAAACGCGTTTCGAGTTTTGACCGCCTCCACCGGTCTTCTAGCCCACTGTACGCTCGTGTTCCTGCTTCTGCCGCTTCAGCGCGAGGATTCATTCGGACTCATCGAACGCATGGCGGCACCGAGGAAGGATCGCTCTGTCTCTCTCGCACCCTACGGGACGCCCCATGAGCGCCATGAGTGCGACAGAGACAGAGCGACGGACCGATCCTTCGGAATAAGCGGCTCGTGTTTGCACACTCGAAAACATTTGCGCTGGGAGACGCGGCCCTCGGAGGGCGGGGCGTTGTCGCGTCGTCACCGGACAAGGCAAACACGAACTAGGCCGGCTGGACAACAAAGTAGATAGCGACTGTACAACTAACGTCGCCGTTGTTGCACCAGCGGCCCCAAAATGTTGCCAGCCTGCCGACGGGAGACTGACTATAGCATGTACGCTCACACACACACACACAAGCACACTCTCTCACACACTCCTTTCCCCTGCCACTGCCCGTGGGGCGCAGGGCGCGCCTCCGCCATCAGGATGTCATTGGCGTGCGGGGTGCATCGCGCGCGACGCGCGACCTAGTGCAAGGGCACGGCGAGGGCCAGCCCCAGGCACCCCAGGCCAGGCCAGGCCCCCGTCCCCCATCCATCCACTGCCAGGCAGGGCTGTCCTGTCCGTGGGAGGCTCTAGACGCGGTCGCGGCCGCGCGCACGAAGCGCATGGCCGAAGTGCTCGTGACGTCACGGGGCACGGCGCGGCACGGCACGGCCATGTCGGCGGGCTTGGCGGCGGCGGCGCACGCGTTGCCGCCCCTTTCTGAGCGACCAGACCAGACCAGCCGCCAGCCCCCCAGCCTGCCAGCCATCAGCCCAGATCCGATAGATAGACACGCACGCCAGTGACCACATCGACCGGGCCGCCCCGCCCCGCGCCGCGCCCCGCCCCACTGGAGTGCGCGGAAATATTTAATCGGCGACAATGACGGCGGCGTCGGCGCCCACGCGGCCTCTTGTCGCCGCCCTGCAGTGCCTATCTCTCTCTCGCACCCGCACGGCAGGTGAGTGCGAGCGAGGCAGAGCGACGAAAGCACCGTTCGCAGGAGAGGAGCGGATTGATCGTTGAGCGCCGTGCCAATCACGGGTGGAACAGGTGCCTGCAGGTTCCCGAGAGTCTTTTTCGTCGGGAGGGTCCAAATGCGGTTGGAAATGTCACTTGGTTCATGGGCATAAGTGACGGTCACTTTGGACACTGCCCGGGAGCAAACGCCGCAATGCGGATGGTGGTGGTGATGGTGGTGGTGATGGTGGTGGTGATGGTGGTGGTGATGGTGGTGGTGATGGTGGTGGTGATGGTGGTGGTGATGGTGGTGGTGATGGTGGTGGTGATGGTGGTGGTGATGGTGGTGGTGATGGTGGTGGTGATGGTGGTGGTGATGGTGGTGGTGATGGTGGTGGTGATGGTGGTGGTGATGGTGGTGGTGATGGTGGTGTGGTTTGTGATGATTACGGCGCTGATGGGCTTCCGCGTGTACTTCAACGCACGAGTTGGACTGCGGTGCACGGCGCTTTTCGAAAGTGGGAAATATCGATCCGGGGGAATGCAGACAGCGGTCGAACTGGCCGAAAAGTGCCACCGTAAGGTTGTAGTCTGATGCTGATTGCCGCCACGCCGAAAGGGTTGCCTATCTCAGCCCGCGATTTGTCGTGGATAACCATATAAACAGTGGTCCTAGCAGGCGACCCCTACGAAGCCGGAATGCACATGTCGCAAACACTCTCATCGTCGCCCCGACAGGACGCACCCCGACAGGACGCACCCCGACAGAGCCCCCGGGCCCCCGTCGTCGGCGAGGTAGGTGACATTAACGCGGTGGCCGCCCCCCCTGCGCTTCCATCAGTGTAGCGTGCAGCGGCAAGCCATTCCGAAGGGTCACTTCGTCACTGTCCTTCCCTCCCTCCCTCTCTCGCACCCTTTCGGTTCGCCCCATGAGTGCGACAGAGACAGAACGAGCCGAACGCGGCAAGGCAACGCGGTGCCCCACAGTGGGCCAGAAGCCGGTGGAGGCGGCCAAAACTCTAGACGCGTTTTGAGCTCCAGAGTCGCAAAGCAGGACTCGAACCGAACGTGTGACCCCACCAATGGACTGCTCTCAGAACGAGGAATCCATTGGTGGGGTCACACGCTCGGTTCGAGTCCAATTTAGCGACTCTGGAGCTCAAAACGCGTCTAGAGTTTTGGCCGCCTCCACCGGCTTCTGGCCCACTGTGTGCCCCCTGCGCCCTCCAGCCCCTCCAGCCAAGCAAGCCCGTCGGCGAGTCCATTGCACTGCTTTGTGCGGCTTGGTGTCGCGGACTGGCCGGACTGGGTGGGGTGAGGGAGAGGGAATGACCAATGACCGACCCGGACGTGAGTGCCGTGCCGTGAGTCTCCGTCCTCCGCGCCGTTTCCAGGGTTTCCAGCCGCCAATCCGAAATCCGACGGACGCCCGGTAAAATAGTTCCTGTCAACATTTCCCCCGCGAGAGTTTAGTGCCAGCAATTACCCGGTACGAGTGCCGCGTCGGACTCGGGGCACGCCACTGCGGCCCCGCCCCGCCCCGCCCCGCCCCGCCCCGCCCGATAAAGGGAACACCCGGAAACGGAAACGCAGCCGCGTGTCGTGATCGAGGGCGGCCCGCGCAGCCAGCCCCCACAGCAGGAGACTTGATTCCGAGAGTCGTTTTCGTCGCTCTGTCTCTCTCGCGCCTAGACGGCACACCCCTTGAGTGTGCGAGGGAGACAGAGCGGTGGAAAGGGCAACTCTCGGAATCGGTCTGCTGGCCCAGGGCGTCGAGGTTGTGGCGGTTGGGGCACTTGAGCGCCTCCCGCGGCGGCCGCGTCCCTCGCGGATGCCCGCCACTCGCCACTGCCTGCCACCTGCACCGTCGCCCCACCATCGTCACGGGAAGTGCGCCTCGCCGCACCTACTCGAGGACGACGAGGATGACGTCAAGGATGACGTCACCGCCGCGGGGGCTTTTCAAGTGTCTGGCTGTCGGCGCCAGGGCCGGCCGGTACGCCTACGCCAAGAGTAGCCTAGCGTCACCTAGCGTAGCCCAGCGAGGGCGGCGTGTGTCTGTCCGTCTGTCTGCCGGCTTGGAACAGGAACACCCCGGACACGGCCTGGCGGCGTCTGTCTGTCTGTCTGTCTGTCTGTCTGTCTGTCTGTCCGTCGCCACGCGGTCGCCCCCATGAGGGTTGAGGCGGCGGAGGGTTGTTGTTGGTCGATGGCCGGACTCGCTCGCCGCCCCGCGCCTAGCGGTGCTAGCGGCCCCCTACCCGCGGCGGCCAGGACGGCCAGGGCGCCAGGGCCAGTGTCCGTCAGTGCCCCGCGCCCCCAGGTCGCTGGTCGCTCCATGCCGCGGTAGGCGGTCTCGCGGAGTGCAGGCCCGCGTCGCGGGTGCCGTGCGGCCTGAGCCGCCGAGGACGAGGAAGGAAGCGTTGCCGAGCGGTGCGAGTGACCCAAGAACCTTGACTCTGAACGACCGGGGCCAGCAGCCTGAAATCGGGGCGTGGAATTTGGTCGAGTTTCGCATCTTTGCCGTGGGCGCTGGGCAGGAGCAGCGCGACGAGCGCGATCACAAGCATCGTCTGGGCTGGGTGGTCTGGGTGCGCTGAGCGCCGGCCTCGGCACTCGCACGCACTCGGCTCGACGCGACGCGAGCTGCATGCTCCTTGCCCCACGGACCACACGGACGCCGTCGAAGCCGTCAAGTGCCCCATGGCCGTCGGCACCCCGCCAGAGTCAGGGGGAGCAGGGGTTTGGTTAGCGACAGCCTAGTTCAAGTCCTCGACCGCCAGAGAGGTGTACGCCCTGTACGCACTGTAGGCCCAGCACGGCCAGGATGTCGGAGGCAGAGCTGCTGGCCCTGCTCAAGCCGGTGACCCATGGCGGCACCACCTACAGGTCCACCAGCGAGCTGGTGGTGGACCGGCGCATCGGCAAAGGCCAGTTCAGCGTCGTGTTCCGGGCCCGCTCCAAGACGGACGGCAGCGTGGTGGCCCTCAAGAAGGTGCAGATCTTCGACATGATGGATGCCAAGGCCAGGGTGGACTGCGTCAAGGAGACCAACCTGCTGCAGGTGCATGACCCTCTCCGATGATTTGTTCTGGTTTCAACCCAAACGCCTTGTCTGTTTATGATTGATTGTTTATTTTGAACTAATGTCGGCTTATGCTGATTGCAGCAACTGGATCATCCAAATGTCATTCGGTACCTTTCGTCCTTTATCGAAGATGGGGAATTAAATATTGTTCTGGAATTGGCTGATGCGGGGGACCTACTTAGAATGATTAAACACTTCCGTCGCCACAGACGTCTCATACCTGAGCGTACCATTTGGAAATACTTTGTGCAGCTGTGTAGTGCAGTGGATCATATGCATTCGAAACGAATAATGCATAGAGGTGAGGATACATAAATATTAATTGGGGAAAATATTGAACCTGTTACAATGTAATACAAACAAATAAAAAATATTTGTTCTTTTTTATTCAGATATCAAGCCTGCAAATGTATTTATCACAGCATCTGGAGTAATAAAATTAGGTGATCTTGGTTTAGGACGATTTTTCAGTTCTAAAACAGTAGCTGCTCATTCTCTTGTTGGAACCCCATATTACATGAGCCCTGAACGTATTCATGAACATGGCTATAATTTCAAGAGTGATATTTGGTCTCTAGGCTGTCTTCTTTATGAGGTACGTATTGGAAAAATAGGTTGCTCTTCAGACACAGCTTGTTCTTTGTCTGAGAGTTGATTGACAGTGTGGGTCTGTTCATGTTCACAGATGGCTGCGCTTCAATCACCATTTTATGGTGACAAAATGAATCTGTATACTCTCTGTATGAAGATTGCACAATGCGACTACCCACCCTTGCCGAGTAATGCCTACTCTGACAGTGTATGTATTTTTACCTATTTTTTCACTGACAAAAAATACTTTTAAAAGCCATAGCACATTATAACTTTGTGTATTTGCAGTTGAGGAGCTTAGTGGCAGGGTGTATAACAGCCAACCCAAGCGACAGGCCAGACATTGGCCACATGTATAGTATAGCACAGACTATGAACAGCCAATACAACAGAAAAGTTACCAGTGGAGGGAACAGGCCAGAAGCCAGCAGCAGTGGGTCCACAAGTTCCCAAAGTCGTAGTCGAGGATCAGGACAGAGGCTACGGAATCCAGTTGGACTGCTACCGCTTTCACCTCTTGCAACACCCTTGATGCAGCCCACAGCTCATGTGCACCGCAGAATCAGCAATGTCTCTATGACACGGGAACATCATGAGACACTTTTCCCACCTTTAATTGACAAAAGCAATGATTTGTGATCTGATTTGTAATGCTAAATGTTTAAAAACAAAAATTTTTTTCTTTGTCAATTTTTTACTGTTTGGAAATTGAACATGTGATGTGTCAAATTTGCTTTGTCTCTGTGCATTCATGTCATTTCTAGCAACAAAAGCAAGAATGATTTTAAATAAAATATGAGAAGGACCAGGTATGTAGAGCAACTCCATGAACAGAACTAAACTAATTATTACGTCATTAATTTTAGCAATCTGCGTTACCTCATATGACTCGTCTCCCTCCACTACTTTCAGTGTTGTGCAGCAGTGACAAATGATTCAAAACACAACCAACATCACGATCCCTTTGCCACAAGCTGAGACTCTGAGGTTCCTCTAGAATGGATAGTAAAGCTGCAAGGAAAGTACCTAATAAATATTACAAGAGTTAATTTTCCAACAGGATCTGACTCAATCAATGCTTACCAAGGATAAATTTTGGTTTTTTAAGATTGAGCTGTACTATTTCACTGGCCATCATTGACTTGTACATGGATCCGCTGGGATCTAAACTTTGGTTGAGCTTTGATGGAACAGCTCGGGATGTATGTCCAAGAATCCAGGCCAACTAAAAATGATACACTTTTTTGTTTGCTCAATTCTTCTCATGATTCCACACTAATTACATGCTCCCTATTGTACCTACAGCTGCTTTCAGACTGTTGTCCGTCTCCCTCAATGCAATTTCAATGTCTCTTTCTTCATATCCCATTTGCTTAAGATGGTCAAAATGTTTCTGGTTCAATTTAAAATTATCATGCCTTCTCCTTAAAGCAGAGGTCAAAAGGTCTTGAAATGACTCATACACTGTCAAAGTCTTTGCCTGGCTTGTTGATGGCTCAGGCAGCTCTTCTTCCTTGGAGCCAGAACTTTGCTCTAGAAGCCATTCCATAGCCTCAGAAACATTCATTCTGAAATATAAAACTTCTGTTACTGTAAAATAATTTGGGACATTTTTTTTCCTCAAAAGTATGTTGTTATGGTGCAGTTAATGACACTATGAAAAAACCTTTTTGCTGTCAATGCTTTGAGGACCATGCGTTCTGAAAACCCCATGTCAGTAAGTTGTTTTACATATGGGCTGTGAAGATTGGGTTCCCTCTTAGAGCTAATCTCTTTCTTCACTTGTTGTAGGACTTCCATTCCGTTAGGTGCATATGCCAAAAGGCGAGCAGCAGTCTCAAATAGAGTAATACAGATACGAGGACTGTCTATTGAAAACCGTATGGAGCACTGCAACAAGGAATCAAAATTGGCTGCTTAGTCCTAGTTCATAAATAATTGTGGAAAATGATCAGACATTACTTTTGTGAACATAACTGTTATGTCCATCTCATCTTCAGTCTCCGGTATCTTGGGTCCAGGCTTTTGAATGTTTCGTGGCTCCAGGTCCTTTGTGGCCTCCCACATTTCAGCTGTGGATGGCCCCCTCAAGTCTGGTTGCGGTTGCTTTGGAGGGGAAGAGCGGCATTGAACCAAAAGAACCTCCTCTGTTCACAAATTTATTCATTTTTAAGAACATAGGGATTGTACAATGCGCACATCACTGGAACCATTGGCTCAATAATTTACCATTTTCTCTCAAACCTTCCTCATTCAAGGATTTCTCACCAGAGAGTACTTCCCTGGTTCTTACAGTTACCATCTTGTGCTTTGAGGCCCTCAAAGTCGAATGCGTGCTAGGCCCATGAAAATAAGTCAAAGACATGGCCAGCAACTTGTTAATCTTGGTGGTGTTGCTTACTTTGGTCTTCCACACAGCGCCCATGTAAATGACCGAAATTTTCGTGTGCTCGCTCTCAGGCGAAGTCATGCCAGTTCCACTGGATAAATGATTTTTGGCGGTGGTATAGAACCCAAACTCCAAACAAACAAACAACATCCAACACTATCCTAAATTTTATTTTTACGCGCCACAGGCATGCCACCTTATGTTGGCTCCAGGCCCACTCTGAGTGGCCACACCTGGGTCGACACTCGTAGAATTCAAAATCAACAACCACTAAATTGAAATTCGGAGAAGTAGAAAGCGGATCGCCAAGAAATTACCGAAAAATGTCAGAATCTTGCATGTGTGATTTTTATGAGAATGTTGGTGAAACTGGCTTTCCCGGTCTTTCCCTCCCAGTCACTTCCGCTTGCAGCTATCTCTCTCGCACTTCACGAGAAGAAAGGGACGAAAAGAAAAGGCAGAGAGAGACAGTTGAAAGTCGCTAGAAGTGACTGGTGGTGACTAGCAGACGTCAAGCACATTTACGAAAGCACAGCAAGTGGCGGCAGCGCGTGTGAGGCCTGTGTTTTTATTGACGATTGCAACTCTAGTGAAGCCTGAGCTTATGTTTTTAGAGGATTCTTCTTCAAGTCGTGCGATTATGGTCGTTTCGTGTCACTGCCGCAAATCGCCCGTGTCAGAAGTCCAAGACAGCCATGCCCGAGCCAGAGTCAGAGAAAGCCTCTGGGCTGGGAGACATCTGCAGGAGGCGCGACTGGATAAATCTGAGCAGGTGCCTTGCTGCAGGTAAGACAACTAATTTTGAGGCCCTTTTTATAACCAAAAATCAACAGATTATCTTTCTTTTTAAAATCCATTTTTTTGTTAGGTTGTACAGTTAACCAGAGAGATCACCATGGCCTGACTCCACTGCAGATTTGTTCTGCATTGGGATGGACTGAGGCAGTCTTGTTGCTTCTAAAGCATGGGGCTGATGTCAATCAGGCTTGCCCTCTTGGGTGGACACCATTGATGCAAGCGGTTCGAAATGGGCAATCTGACGTAGTTGGGGTTTTAATAAAAGCGGGAGCTGATGTTTCCATGCAGAATGTTTATGGTTAGTACCATTGATTCAAAATTGCAATTCAAAAGGGTTAAAAAAATTGTTTACTTTTTAAAAATGGAATTTAAATGTGAATTACAGGTTGGGACAGCATGAGTCTGGCTGTAGAGAGCACTGAGAGAGACTCTATGGCAATGTTGATGCCACTGGCTGACTCTTCTGGTATTTTTCGAGCTTTGGCCAGGGCATGTCAACTGGGTAAAATAGAAGATGTCAGTTACCTGCTCAACCATCAGGCTAATGTAAATGGGAAATTACCAGATTCGGGTTAGTAAATCAATTCTCACCTGCCTACAAATCATTCATAAATGCACTGAATTTAATGCAATATATTTGTTTTAGGCTTGACTCCATTGATGTTGGCTGCTTGTGGGGGACACACTGAAGTTGTGAAAGTGCTCTTGGCATCTGCAGCAAACGTACACATGACAAATTCATCTAATTTGACAGCATTGGACATGGCATTGATCAACGGACATAACGACGTGGGGGTTCTGTTGACTCCACCTCCTACAATATCTTTCATGAAAGCCAGTTCACTGTCCCCACATCCTCCATTCCATTCCCTGGCCCTCCCTCAGTGGAGCCCATATGGGATGCCTTTGAACCCATGCACCCCAGCTTACCATACCCCTAGTGTTGGACCACACAGTCCTCAGATTTTTAAATTTCCCCCTAGTCCGACATGTGCTTGCACACCTTTTAACTGTACGCCATATATATCACCCCACCAGTCACCAGCACATTTATCTCCTTATTTAATGGCACACAGTCCTCGCCAGTGTGTCAGCCCCACAGCTTGTTCTTCGCCTTTGGTTCCCCCATGGCTGTTTTCCTATGGTCACTGTTACTATAAAGTGGAGCCCAAATTCAAGTTGGAAAGTCGCAAAATATTAAGAAGATGGTGGAAAAAACTCAAGAGAAGGTGAATAAATTCAGTTTTTACAATTTTGTGATTTAATAATAACCTAAAATTCTGCAAATTTTGAGGTACATAGTAAAATTATCAAGAATTGCTCTAAAATTTTATTTCACAGGTTCGGAAAGAAAAGACAACACAAAAATGTGGGTGTCTATGTGAGTGTTCATGGGCATGAAGCAAAACACAGTGACCCACAGCTGGAAGCTTTACTGCATAGTCTGAATTTGGAGTCTCTCAGTCCTCTTCTGAAGAGTCATGAGGTAAAGCTAAGTAGCATTCCGAGATTTTTAATGAGCAAAATGTGATTCCTAAACCAACTTTCATTTTACAGATTGATGTTGATACATTCCTCAATTTAAGACAGGCAGACTTAGAAGAACTTGGCATTGTTGACAAGGCTTTTCAGTTTTTCATTTTGCAAAGAATCAGGTCACTAAATAACAATTTGTAATTTGAAAATTATTTTGGCATTGTAGTTTTATTGTAGGTAGCATTTAATGCGTGTTTTTAATTGTTGACATATTGATTATTTTACAATGTATTGATGTTCCAAGAACTCAGATTTAAATAAACTCAAAGGCACACTGATCTCTTGAACAAGTTTATTATTAAAGTTCACAGAAAGTTAGTAAATTTTACTGTATTTAACAAATTTCAGTCTTACTTCACAGTATTGTAAATGCAATATATTATCATTAGAATATCAGAAAAGATTTTAGAGTTTTGAATACTTGAGACAAATCAAATGGTGTCTGTCTGAATGTGACTAGTCAAGGCCAAGATAATGCTGAAAATTCTTAGCTTAAGGGAACAGTCTTGTGTTTTAATTTAAAAATAAACGAGCAAGCACTCTTACCCAGAAGTGATGTGTGAGAGCGACAAGTAACGAAGTCCTCAATGTTTGGAGAAGAATTCCTTCTTCTTGATCAAATCAGGTTTAATCTGGTAGAAAAATAATGTTCAATGAAAAACGGTGTCCAAAATACTGCAGACGACCTGAAGTACTTTTGCCAACCACTTACAGTATCTTCACCAGGCTTCCAACCTGCAGGGCAAACTTCTCCAAATTTGTCAGTGTACTGGAAGGCTTGAACCAGACGCAGAGTTTCGTCCACACTGCGTCCGACAGGCAGATCATTCAGGGTAATCTGGCGTATCACGCCTCGGGGATCAATGATGAAGAGACCTCTGAAAAGAGAATTTTTTTTAAACACAAGAAACCAATATAGAATTTTACAATAGAAAGGAAATTAAAAAGGTTACCTTAATGTGTGACCAAGCTCTTCTAAATATACACCATAATCTTTAGAGATCTGATGGTTCAAGTCCGACAGCAGTGGAATTGTTAGTTTCCCCAAGCCACCTTCCTTACGAGGGGTGTTGGTCCATGCATGGTGTGTAAAGTGAGAATCCACAGAGCATGCAACAACCTCTGTGTTAATTTTTCGGAACTCTTCCAATCGGTCATTAAAGGCCAAAATTTCAGTAGGACATACAAATGTGCTATAAGAAAAGATAAATAGTTTGCAAATTGAATTGTAATTCCTTAAGTTTTATCACATCACTTGTCATTGTTTAACTTACAAGTCCAGAGGGTAAAAGAAAAAGATCAAATATTTCCCTTTGTAGTCGGATAATTTGATTTCTTTGATCTCTCCACTTACAACTGCAGTTCCTTTCCATTCAGGAGCAGGCTTGGAAACTAAAAAGGAAAACAAACTTGTATACATAAAATGCATCAACAGGACAATTAGAAGACGACAATGTCAAAATGAAAATTAATGAAGCAACAGGCTCGCTTCCAGGATAACGGAATAAAATGAGCAGTGTCTCCCCATCTCCGAAAAAAATGCTACATCCCTTAGCAGATTCCTGCATGATCGCAAGGAGCGTATGAAGAGAGGAAATAGAAGAAGTCTAATGTGGGAAACAGGTCAGTGAACAGGTGGCACTACATTAACCAAGCATCAGCCACGACTTACTGACTGCCTTCGTCCACTGCAGCTTGTGGTCCCCGCCGTGCGGCCAGGTGTAAGGATATACGTTGCCTCCCGCGAAGGAGTGACAGGATTGCTCCTTGCCTATCGTCTCCGCGAAGGACTGGGCCCCCGCGGACGCGCAGCAGAGGGCCCAGATCGCTGCAAAATACCAGCCGGCACCCATGTTGTTGTTTGTTGTTGTGATGTGAGGATCAGGACTCGCGGCCGGTCCGGGTCCCTACGGTGAGGTGGCGGGTGGGCGGGTAAGGCGTGGCGAACGGGTCTCCCAACCTGCAGTCCCAATCACAAACTGCTTTTTACAAGCCAATCGCAAAGTAAAAGTTCACAAGTGTGACAAGAAAACAACGACAGACTAGAAAAGATCAGCTGTGTATAACTGATCTTTTTCGAAGAGCGAAAACGCATCAGCTCAGTTTGTTTGCAGTTTCGGTGGTTGGCCTCATTGACCGCTCCACCGTGGCGCCGGTTTCCAAGATAAGCCTAGCACCGGCATCACGACTTGAGTGGAAAGAACACTCGAGTCGGGTCCAAAAACTGCAACGCGAGAAAGATCCGTATCTCTGAGGAGTGTGAGAGGGGACGCGAAACGGTCTGAACAATCGGCATGAGATCTCAGGGAAGCGTGCGACTGGTTGGTAGGACGCCGTCCTTGAAACCAGCATTTTTTACCAAGAGCGCAAGTGTACGTTGGGTAGCCTACCCTTCCGGCGCAGACTGTTGCCAAAAGGTGATCCCACAATGGGTCGGTCGGTCGCAGACGGTCGGTCGGACAATGGATCGGCAACGCTGTGGTGGCTTATGTGTCTCCTCGGTGGCTCCGGGCGCAGAGGCAGCGGCCGTCTCGAATGAGGACTTGGATTCGAATCCCAATGACAAACTTATTTTCTTTAGCTGGCCTGGGTTCGGCTCCCCGGAGTGAATCTTTTCCTAAGTTTACTTCTTGCATCCGGTACCATCACTCTAAGATTGATCGCGTAGCATTCCAGTGGCTGATTGGCTGATATGGTAGAGGTGTCAGCTGGCGGGAGGAAGACCTGGGTTCGACTCCCAGGTGGGTGAATCTTTTTCCTCAGGTTACTTCTCAAATCCGGTACCATCACTCTAAGATTGATCGCGTAGCGTCCCAGTGGCTGGTCGGCTGATATGGTAGAGGTGTCAGCTGGCGGGAGGAAGTCTTGGGTTCGACTCCCAGGTGGGTGAATCTTTTTCCTCAAGTTACTTCTCAAATCCGGTACCATCACTCTAAGATAGATCGCGTTGCCTCTCAGTGGCTGGATGGTCGATATAGTAGAGGTGTCGGCCGGTGGGAGGAAGAACTGGGTTCGATTCCCAGTTGAGTGAATCTTTTCCTCAGTTTACTTCTCAACCCCGGTACCATCACTCTAAGATAGGACGTGTCGGACAGGTGTGTTGTCGTAGCTCAGGTGGCAGAGCGATGGGCCGTGGAGGCTGGTTGGAGGCCATGCGGCAGCACATGTTTCCCGTTGGACCTGGTTCGCTACCAGCCAGGTCAGGTTACTAACCCTTTATGATTGCCCCTACTCCCCTCTCCTTCTGGGAGGGGGGGTAGGGGGGGTGGGAGCCGACGGCGGGAACTCTTTTGCATCCTAGAGGTGATATACAGAGAGCAGCGCCACCAAGATAGACCACCCATTTGCCACGCTTGGGGTGGAGGCTGACGGCGGGAACTCTCTTTTGCACTCTTTAACAGCCAAGATTGTTTGGAAGATATCTGGCCTTTAAATCAGTGTATGAGCCGCGCCGTCAAGGTAGGCCACCCATCTGACACGCTGCTGCAAAAGCAGCACCGCGGCGGAAAACATAAGCCATACTCTTAGCCGGGATTTGAACCCGAGTGCTTCTCTCTACGTTCGACACCTCAGCCCCCTGAGCCACCGAGGCTCTCCTTTATGTGAACCAGTCTGAACTTGGGCTAATTGTACCGCATTCATGCAGTCAACTAAGAAAAATGTTTCGGTACCCGGGATTCGAATCAAAGTCTCTCAGCGCGAACACCTCCTCTGCGCTCCCAGCCACCGAGACGATGAAAATTCGCTCGCCAATCTTGGAAGTAATGGTAAGTTACCGGATTCGAGGTTCAACAGAGGAAAACATTTCTATACCTGGGATTTGAACCGAACTCCTGCGCCACCAAATCACCCGGTGTGTCTCCGCCCAAACTCAGACCCATGGTTACCTGATTCTTCGGGTTCGTGAAGTGAGGTGAACTGAGAGTTTGGGAACCAAACTCATGAAAAGATTTGGGCGACGCTCTTGCCGACCAAGCCACCGGTTAGTGATGTTCCATGTGACCGTTCGACCGACCGACCCGTTGTGGGATCACCTAAACTCAGACTGTGGTTACCTGATTCTTTGGGTTCGAGAAGTGAACTGAGAGTTTGGGAACCAAACTCAGGAAAAGATTGGTGCCGACGAGACTCGAACCCGAGCCCTTCTCACAGCAGGCGACTTCTGAGCCCACACAGCTACCAACTCGCTTCATAGAAGTGGCCACAAACTTGTGCTGATGATACCAGATACAAGTGGTAACCTGATTAAAAGATGCCATGAAGCAGGAGGAAAAAACGCTGAGAAGGCAGTTTACTCAACCAATAAAAAAACACAGTTCTTTTGTAAAAAATACTTTGTTTAATCATAAATTATGTTTCTATTTTCAACAGTCAACGGTACCAAACTAGAATTTTTTTATAATCAAAACAGCATTTGCAATGCTTTTGGTTCCTATAACACATGGGATCTCTTAAATCTTAAATAAAAAGTCTTATACATTTCAAATTGAATATGGAAAAAGACACGACAGCAATATAGATTTGTACATATGATACAAGTTGATGCCCTACACTTGAATGGTATTACAAAGAGTAACCATCAGTTCAAAGTTCTAAACTCCTTAACAAGATAAACATTTTTACAAGCAATTAAAAAAGTACAAATAATTAAAACAGGCAGCATTTTCTTTTTTAGACATGTCATACTTGGGTTCCCACATACCACAAATCCCTTATCCCACATGAAGGAAGCAATTCAAAGAAAAGGAATGTGGGAGGATCAGAAGGCAACGTGAATCAGCTGCACATCAACAGAACTTTTCAATAACTGTTTACATCAAAACAACTCAGAAATAATGATTAAGAAGCACGCATGTGTAGCTGTAAGTCAGAATCTGATGTAGAAATCACCAATTCAGCAACAGTTGTTTGGTTCTAAGAGGCAAAAACAAAGAAGGACTTTTAAGGAAGACTTTTGAGAAGTTTCTGCTCCCATCAAAGCTGCAGATTGATGAAAACTAACTACAGCAATGGCAGAGTAATTAAAAAAAAAATTAATATAATATATAGCAATTTGCACAAAATTTGATCTATACATTAATGTCGGTACATACATATTGACAGATTAAACAGGCACAATAATAGTCACTATCAAAATTAAATAACAAGTAATAATCTACTGTACACATTAAATTAATAAGAAGCAAACAATGATGGCATTAAGGCGGCTCTAGCAAGAACAGCCAGATTGTGGTTTGTACTTATAATCTGCACAACCCTGCTAACTTACGTATACAGTTTGAGCAATACTCTATTAACTTAAAATGTCTTAAAGTAACATTTGCAGCAAGGCAGACAAACAGGCATCGTTTTCCACGAACATTTTCCCAACAGTGTTCAAAACCATTCAAGGATTAAAAGGCATAATAAAATATCAAGAGACTATGAGAGGCATTATCTATAAGCAAGGAAACAAAAGCAGCAGTGTTTACAAGTTTTACAAATCACCAGATGATTTTCAGAACAGAAATGTGCTTGTAACTAGAGCTGTTATTTTACTTTCTAGATACCCTGTTTATTGATTCCATGAAGCATATTTTCTTTCTTGTTTTAGAAAGAACTAGAGGGAAATTTGATCAAACAAGCACCTCAGCAACAACAATGTCCAGAGGTCAATAAATCTTTTACTTTACACAGAAAACATCCATTACATAAATGGATCCTTACTCATGATTTCAACAAAGCTTTTGAATCACATCAGAAGTATATAAACTGTCCTTGCCATAGACAAAAAGAAAAGAAAATCAAAACATAAATTCTATGGCACAGAGAGAAAAGATAGCCTTCTCAGTAAGCTTTAAAAGTTCATTTCAAAAACAAGTGAGGAAAAGTAACAAGAATGTGAAAAAGCTTCCACAGTCAGAAATATCACAAATTCTCAAATCAGTAACAAGAATACCTCATTTGAGACTTCATTAAAAGCAGCAATGATTAAATTTCGTGATTGTCAGGCCAATGTACTGTGAGTACATAAAATGATTGTCATGCAACGCAACAAATTTTAATTGTATGACAGTGTAAGGGGGAAAGCTTTCAGTATTAAATCGGTGGGCAGATTAGCACCATTTGAAACAGTTGAGAGAGTAAACTATGTTTTGTTAGTTTGCACAAGGCAGTACTCATGGCAGTTGTCACCGCCACACAATACAACATGCAAGGTTGACTGAATCCATTCAACCATAGATATTATCAGAACTTTGAACTGGAAGCACTAAAACCAAGAAGTGAGGGTGTTTTTTCCTATTTACACATAAATAAACACTTCCATGACTGTGTCTTTTTAGAACATTAGATTAATATTACATATCCAATAAAATAAACAAATAGAAATTCAATTTGTATTAATAGATTTAGCCCTGCATAATACCCTAAAATTTTATAAAAAATATAACATTTAGAAGTGGAAGATGAATATAGCACCAGAGTTTATCTTGTTTCAGATTATAATTTAAGTCATGTACTTGCACTTGCACACTGAAAATCACTAAACAACTTTTTATCACAATTAACAATGGGCCATGAACAGTCTATGATGATGAACTGTATCATTACTTGAAAGCAAGGCCAAAACAACTTTCACTTTAGTTTTATTACTTTTTTGGTAGGGAAACGAATGAATCTGGGTAGCAAAGACGGATTTCACAGGAATCATAAAGAAACTTGTCAAAGAAAATTAACAAAATATAGCTAAGATGTAGCATGGTGATAGTAAACAATCAACTGAAAATCATCTGTTATAGGTCGAGACTAGGCCTTTAAACACAAACTCTTTACAAAATATAAGATGAACATTTAAAAGTTTTGATATCATTCAGTAAAAAAGCTTAAAAATTTCAGAAGCCACAGGCAGAAATACAACAGGTTGCAAACTTCTACAAACAACAAAGAAAAGCATGAACAGTCCATTACATGTTTGGTGTACCAAAATAAAAATGATAATAAAATTTTTGAAAGCCCACTTCAGCTGTCAATTCTTATAAGGTGCTCTTTGCTAGATTTGAGCAATCCGAAAAGCACCAGTAAAAGTTACTTAGACAGACACCACATCACAGAGAAGACAATATGCCGAGCCACAAGCACAGTTCACACTTCAACCCCAAACACTCGGTCAACCACATACTCAAATCTCTCCCCTTCAGTAGGGTTCTTACTTTCCTGACCCTCAACTTGCCGTTCTGAGGTCTCATCCGTATCACCACATTGACATCCTTCTTGGGCACTGTACTCCTCAACCTGATCTTCATCATCTACATCTTCCTCCTCTTCTTCTTCTTCATCAGCACCCAATGAAGTACCTCTTTTCAAGGTGCTGCTTTCTGAGCGGCTCTCATCCAAATCATCAACATGAAAGCCGCTGTCTTCAGGAGACAATACTGGCACAGTAAGGTTGACTCGGGTGAAAAATGCCATTTTTTGCCTGTAAATGCCAAAGTTACACAGTTAATATTACTTCAAAAATGATGAAAAAGAAATAAATGTTATGCTCAAGCAGAGGGCACTTACTTGAATGAAATGACATCTGGCCGCCCGACACCAGCCTTGCTTTTACGTAACTTGTAAATTTCTTTGCTGGTCTTTTGAAGGAGCTTCTCTACTTTACGATCGTCCACATTCTTGCTATTTTTCCCCATTTCCGCCTAAATTGATTTAAAAGAAAAGAAAATGGATCAAGATAAGCCTTTGCGTGTGCTCTGAAACAATGTCACTGACAGTGCTGGTTTTTCTCCATACCTGTGCAATGAGGTTCTGGAACTGCTTGTCCTCCAGCAGCCAGGCAGCCAGTTCGCTGTCCCCTCTGGAGCGAGCTTCCTCCAACTGAGTCTTGAGCATCCTGAGACGACTCAGCTCGTCGCGCAGCGTCTCCAGGCGAGTGTGCTGAGCCCGCAGGTCGAGCTCCAAGTCCAGCGACGTGCGCGGGGCAGTGATATGGGGACCTTGACTGCGGTCGTGATGACTTGAATGACCAGACACGGAGAGCGTGGAGCACGAGGAGGGCGATCTCCTCCACCTCAGAGAACGCCGTTCGACAGAGTTACGCTGGAACGGCCTGCTCAAGCCGCTCGAGCAACTCGGTCTCCGGTACAAAGGCATTGCGCTGTCACTGTCACTGCGGTTTAGCTGTCAAACAGAACACAGAATATTGTTGAGATATTCGTTAAAATTTACGGTGGATAAATGCAGAAACAACATGTACTTTGAGAACCACTTACTCTGCAAATATATTGAGATTTAGCTACAGCAGCACTAGGTGAAAATGTTTGTGAGCGTTTTATCACCATTGCTGCTCTACTTGATTCTTCCCTACGTTTGTTTCCTTTTTCTGGCAGGAATACACATTCTGTATTGGTTTCCTTATCTTCAGTGTCAACCTCTGACACTTCTACAACTTGATCAAGACTTTCTTCCGGGATCCGAAGATCTAATCTATCGTCTTCCACAATTTCTTCACAATCCTCATCTTCAACCTCCTCTTCTTGACTTCGGAGGCAGGCAGCAAGCTCATCAAGCCTTGTGCACACAGTGGGATTCCCTAGTGGAACAAAGTATTTTTTAATTGAAATAATTCAATTTTCATAGGAAAGTGACTATCCCAAGAAGTGATTGTTGCTTACCTTGGCTTCTTGTAAGGGTGGACGTCTGGCTTGAGATAATAGTGGATTCATCAGAACTTTCTTCCTTCTGTTGAGAGTGGTGCTCTGTGACAGGTCCCAAAACTGCACTGCAAGCATTGCTTGAGGATGCAGCATTTAGATTACTTGGGGACATGAATCGGAAGCTTAGTATGTTGTACCATTTGACTGACACTGTGTCAGGATTGAAGTCAGCTAAGCTGACTTGAGCACAACCCTGAGAGAGACACAAAAGGAGGATTCCAGTTAGTTACAGAGGAGTAATATACGCCAAGGTTGACTGAAAACCGAGTGGCACTCACCAGGCACTCCTCAGGTTGAAAGTTGCTTGCACACCAAACATGAACTTGAAGTGTCTTTGCACACAACTTGCTAAGGGGTACTGACAAGGGAAAGTTTTCACCAAAAGTTGGCTTCCTAAGGTCTGCTACAGCTTTAGTGCAACAGGCTAGAGTAGCAGGCGCTGATGAGGGTAGCAGAGCTGCTTTAATATGTCTGAAAAAGAAATCAAACACAGTTAGGACCTATTTAAAAAGAAACAAACATTTCCACACTGTTGTTGAAATGAAAAGTTAACTTACACAAAACAGTTTTCTGGGATGGAGAGAGCAGCTAAATTACGCGCTCTTTCAATACCAACATGTAGTAAGCTATCGCAAAGTGAATACCTGTTGAGAAAGAAAAAAGTTGAATTGGGAACTTTATACCCAGGCATGGCATTGTCATGGACTGGTAATTAGAAGAAACGAAGAATTTGATAAATCTGAGCAAACGTCTTACCTTAGTTTGATTTGAACTTGCGCTGTCTCCAAGTTCATGTCGCAAAGCACCATGCCTCCAGGGCCTTGTAATTTCTTGTGCGATGCCTCAAACACACCTGAGTCGCCTGCTACTGACTCATCACTGACAGCAGCAGACACTGATCGCGTGTTGGTTCCGGATGACGTGGGAGTCTCTGAGATTGGGGATAAAGGAGGGTCCATTGGGGCCAGACTGGTGCTTGAACCGGGTCTCCGCAAATCAGAGGTTGAGCGCACTTCAACATGATCCGGTATATGAGAGTTCACCACACAATTCACATAATCATTAACACCGGCCTGATTTAATCTTAATTCTGCAAGGCGAGTTTCTAACTGAGTTCTATCTAAGGCAAGAAGAGCTTCTTCAGGTGCACACACACTGGCTGCCACTTGTTGGAGCGGCTGCTGGTACAGAGCAGGCTGGTGCGGCACTTGCTGCTGCTGCTGGTGTTGTTTGCGCTGGCGTTCCACATGCTCATATGCTGGGGGTGGACCAGTTGCAGGGTTGTACACCGGGGACACCGGGGACACCGGGGGTGATACTGAAGTAAATGAGGATCTTGGGGAAAGAGACGGCGAACCAGACTCCTTCAACAGACGCTCAACTCTTCTATGAAGGTCTGCCATATTGATGGGCTTGTCACTTGCAGTGGTCCCAACACACTGAGGTCCACCATAAATATCAGTGAAACTGAGTCCGCTACTCAGAGATCCCTTACTACTCGTGGTACTGAGGGAGCCAAGACTAGAGCTGCTAGAGACGGACAAAGTACTGGCCGAAAGAGTCTTAAGTTGCGACTCAAGAGATGTCATTGCACGTAAGACATCACGTAGTTCTTGAAGTAACTGTTGCTTCTCTTCGTGTAGCCTGACTCTCTCGGCAATTGTACGATTTGACATTTCTAATGCATTGTTCAGATCTTGTTTAACACGGCCAATTTCTTGTTGGATATCTGACATTTGACGAGGTGTCAGAGAATGTGTGCGTGGTGTTATTGATCGAAGCTCCCGCAGCAACTGCTCCTTCTCTTGGAAAAGTAATAGTCGGTCCTGATCAGATTCAGCTTGGCCAGGTATTACTTTTTCTTCTAAATCTGCTAACTTTTGCTGAATTTGTTGAATGCTTTTACGGGCTTCATCATACTTCAATCGCATACGGGCCATCTCAGCTAACCGGGTCCCCATTGACACCATCTGATATGTAACAAAACAGGTAGATCAGTTTACAGTGTTAACTTAAATGCTACCAAAATATGATGAAAAAAAAGAGCTCTTACCTCCCCAGATAAGTCTGTCTGGCTTGCTGTACTGAGTTTCTCACTTGGAAGACTAAGAGTTGAAACATCGGGTGAACTCTCACTCAGCTGTAGCCTTGTCAGATCATCCTTCAGTTTAGCTAATGACAGCATCAGTTCTGCCTTCTCTTTCTCACCACTCATCAATGACTTTTGTATGTTCCGGAGCTCAGCAACAATGGCTTGAGCTTCTTGGATATTATAGCATCCTCCTTGAGAGCTACTCAGCTTTTGTTCCACACTGGCAAAGTCAGAACGACACGTTAAACTACAATTCGCACTCAAAAGCCATTTGGAAACAAAATTTTAAAGAGAATTTAACTTACGATGCCAAGGTTTCTACTCCTCTTTGAGTGCTATTCATTTCTGCTCGAATCTGTTCTAGTTCTCGCTTCAATCTGGAAACACGATTCTGGGCCAACGCCACATCTGATTTGAGCAGGTCTGGATCGTACTTGGTGCTAACACTACTCGAGCTGGAGCACACTGCAAGTGGAAACAAACCGATTATGAGACGATTCTATTTGTCACGACATTGCCAACATCAAAACAAATGCATCAAGAACTCACAGCTTGTCCTCGAGTAGTTGAGCTGCTCGCTGAGGTGGTTGAATTCATCTTGTGCCAGGTACAGCCTTCGCTGCTTCACATCAAAGATTTCTTTTTTCGCCTGCAAAACAGAACACCACACATTAGACACACAGACACCACAAGGGCTGGTGGGCCGGCAGGGCAGGGCAGGTGGGCCTTACGATTTCGCACTGATAACACGGGGTGGTGGGCCAGCTCGGCCAGCTTCGCGAGGGGGGGTGGAAGGGGCGCGGGAGCGCGTCCCTGGCCGGAAAGGGGGGAAAGGGTGGACAGGGGAGGGGGCGGTGTCCAAGCGGTCCGAGCGCGGCGGAGGCCGGCATGGCGGAGGCCGGCATGGCGCCGGGGCCGGGGGGCGTGCCCGCGGTGCCCGCGCACACTCGCGCCCATGGCACCATCGCGCCGCGACTTGCAGTGCCGGGCCGGCGACGCGGCGGCGGGCCGCCAAAAAGCCGCCAAAGGGTTGCTGACGGCGGCCACCTCGAGGTCCTCGAGGATCTTGGCGGGCCGACGGCCGAGGGTGCGGGCGTGGCGTGGGTCCCTGGGCCGGACGCAGGGCTGCGCAGGGCACGGCGGCCCTCGATATGGGTACGGCCGGCGCGGGTCGGGGCAACTAACATGCACGGCGCACGGTGCGGGGCTGCGGGGCGCGGAGCAAGGCAGGCGAGCAAGGCGTAGCGTAGCACACCACGGCACGCCACGCCACGGCATGCCGCGCACGGCGCACGGCCCAATGGGCCAGACCCATCCCATCCCATCCCAGCCCGCTGACCCTCCCTCCCCACCCCACCCTCCGCCAGCTGCATACCAAGCCAGCATCCCTGCCCCCCCCCCCCCCCCCGGCCAGGTCCACTTGCCCATGGATCTGATTAGCCCGGCCCCCTCCCCCTCCGCCCCCTCCCCCTGCCCCACGGGAGATGATGATTCCGTTTTGGTTTCGTTCCGTTCGGCAGCTCAGGGAAGGGAGTGCCCCCAGGGAAAGGTGGGAGAGGAGGCGGGGCGGCGGGGCGGTGGGGAGGGGTTACAAGGACGAACCAAGGCTGTGTCTAGCTGCATACCTCACCATGCCTCCATTCCATGCCCGGCCGTTGCCTTCGCTCGCCTTCGGCTCCCTTTTGGGCGCCTTTCGAGAGTACCTAAAGCACTACGGGTGCTTCAGCACCTCAGGCTGAAATGCTCGAGAACCGTCATGCACGCCTTCGGGGGCCTTTGCCACTGCCGTGGCTCGGTGCGCCTCGCGCGCCGTTTTGAAAACGCCGTCGGACCGAGCGGCGGAGTGTCCTTCCTGGCGGATTACAAAACCACCAAGAAGCCGGCGTCGTCATGAATGATTCCATGGAGCAGGGCGAGCGGGCCCCCTTCCCGCTGAATGTCAACAGCCGCCGCAGTGGATTTTATTTCTTTCGAAATTTTTCTAGATCCCGAGCCCCCGTGGACGGAGGCCGTCGCCGTCGTCCAGCATCCGCGGCGTCGTCGCCGTGCCTCGCCGCGCGTCCGAGCCGTCCGAGCGCCAAGACCTGTCCGTCCTGGTCCTGGACGGCACGGCAGGCACGGCAGGCACGGCGCGGCCCTTGACACATTCCGCCGTACGGTGGCGTAGCATGGCGTAGTCGAGGAGCGCGCGGGGAGGGGGAGGGGGGCGTCACCAGGCGTCACGGCGAGGGGAGTGAGGGGGTGTTCCATTGGCGGGAAGGGAAGGGAAGGGAAGGGAAGGGAACGTAGTCCGAGGGGACGGGCTTGTCGTCGCCGTGCTCCGCAGTGCTCCGCGCTCGCCGTGCCGCCGGATCCAAAAGGCCAAAAGGCAGACGGCCTCGGCGCCATCAATGGAGGGCCAGCGCCAGCTAGCGCCAGCCCGCCCCGCGGATCACCACATCCCTGCCGCGGCTACCGCCACCACGAGGAGCACCTCGACGAGCACCACCGGGATCACCATCACGCGACCAATGACCAATGCATTCCACGCGGGCATCCATGCCGACTACGTCGACCACGTCGGCCACGTACGGAATGCCGCCGCCACGCCACCACGGGCCGCTCCGCTGCCTCCCAGTGCCACCACGCCACCATGCACCCACTGCCATGACGACCACGACGACCATGGAGGACACGGGCACCACGGCCGCCGAGGCGCGCCGTGCGGACAGGACTCCTCGTTTTGGCCGCAATTTGGTTAAGAAATGCATCCAGAAAGGAAGGGCGTAAGAACGCGCGAGGTGAGAAGAAGAGAGGGAATGCACACACACTCTCACACACACACATGCGCGCCGCGCCGCGAGGGCAGGGAGAGCGAGATAAGGGGAGAGCGCGCGACACGAGCAAGAGAGACGCGAGCGGCCACGCGCGCGCGCCCGAGAGAGAGGGGGAGCGAGAGAGACGGAGATAGAAAGATAGAGAATGTTGGAGGTTCCGGCAACGACTGCTCCCGCACTGGGCGCATTCCAGCAACAGGCCACAGCGCGCTGGCAGGCCGGCGAGCGGCGGGGAGGGGCGGGGAGGGGAGGGGGCAGGGGGGCAGGGAGGGGGAGGGAGCACGCCGCGGCCAGATTCCTGACATTCCAGCCACGCCACACGGACACTGACGGCACACAACCAGCCTCTGCGTCTCTCTCGCTCTCAGGAATGCAGGGCCCGGCGGGGCAGGCCTGGCGTAGAGGCCTGGCGCGGCGCGGCGGCCAGGCGAGTGGAGGTTGGTGCGCGGGGCTGCCCAGCCGCGCCGCCTTGGTTCCACAAATTTTGCAGCAGGGGAAATGGGCTCTGCTCGGCCCTTCGCGTCAGAGTCGCGTCGGGAGTCTCGCGTCGCAGAAAGCGGACAAGGGCAGGGCCGTCACGGAGGCGGTGTGGTCCAGGACGGCGTCCAAGACGGCGTCCGGGACGGGGAACGCCACGGGTTGACGGCCAGGTGACAGCCCGAGCCAACCGCCCCTGCCCCGGTGACCCTGACAGGGGAGGGGAGGCCTTCAGGCCCCTGCACCGCCAGCCCAGTCATTCCGAAATATTATTCCGCCGCTCTGTCTCTCTCGCACCCCTTCGGGCGGGCCCACGAGAGCGACAGAGCACCGCAACGCCTCTCCGGAATCGGACTGCAGTGCTGCACCATGCTGCACCGGCCCGCAGCCCCGGCGTGCCGCGCGTTGCGGCGCGACACGGCACGGCGGGTCACGAGGTCGTTCACAGTGCCGTGCTGCTTGTTTTGGTGTCACAATGACCTTGGGGACCTTGGGCTTGCACGGTGATACGGGGCGGCGGCACTGGGGCGGCCTGGGCTTGGGCGGCTCGGCCAAAACGAACGAAGCGCACACACACTGCACGGGCCGTTCAAGAAAAAGGACAGTGTCCTGAACTTGGCCGGGGATCGAACCCGCGCCCCGCGCGCGGACGGCGGCGGCGCCGCCATAGGGCAGGCCGCCTGCCGACCTTCACAACCCTTTGTCAGCAGGAATGCAAAGGGCAAGGGGGCGCGGGCTGCGCAGGCGGGGTGGAGTGGGTGGAGCACTCAGCCCTCGGGGTGCTGCAGACTGATTCCGAGAGTCGCTCTGTCTCTCTCGCACTCAAGTCCCCCGTAAGGGTGCGAAAGAGACTGAGCGACGAAAGCGGCCCTCGGAATCAGTCTTGCTGGAGCCCTCAGCCGTGCCGGGTAGGCCGCTCTACTGCGGGGCACTGCGTGGTGCCTACCCGGCGACGTCGCGGCGGCAAGGCCTATGTAGGCAAGGCCGATCGGGGCAAGGTTGACGGGGGCAAGATTGCAGGGGCTGCCGGCACCCTAACGCCCTTTGGGCCCCGCCCACTGCATGCTGCACTGGAACTTGACTCACCTCCAGGACGTCCTGTGCCGTTTGAAGGTAGTCGCGCAGCATGGCTTCCTGGATGGCTCGCCATTCCAGCCGCGGGTCCTCGAGCTGCGTACACTCTGCAACAAAACACGGTCACTCAGCGACAGGCACGACGTACGTACACACGACGCAATGCACACACATGCAGCGGCCAAACACCACCCCCGTCATGCAACACCTTTTGGCGCCTTGCGCGCACCTCCCCGAGACCCCTCCCGCCGTCTCCCGCCTCCCGGCACGCGCCACGCCACGCCGCGCCACGCCACGCCACTGCGTTCTGGGGCCCCGAGACAAGACGGGGGACTGACAGATGCCATATACGGCAGCTTGTCCGCGACGAGCACGGCGTGGAGCACGGCACGGCATCCCCATGCGGCGGACCGATTCCGAGAGTCATTTTCGTCGCTCTGTCTCCCTCGCGCCTACACGGGACGCCCCATGAGTGAGAGAGAGACAGAGCGACGAAAACGACTCTCGGAATGAGCCTGGTGCCTGGAATGGGAGCGACTCCACGATTCCAGCACGGCTCCGGCAATGCTTCCAGCAAGGCTTCCAGCTTCCAGTGCAGGGGGCTAGAGCAGCTAGCGCAGCCACGCTGCAGAGACTCCAGAACGCCGAGTAGTAGGAGGAACCCCGCGAGCCGCGGCACCGCGAGGAACCACGCACTCCAGGCTCTGTCTCTCTCGCACTCATGGGGCGACTCTCATAGGTGCGAGAGAGACAGAGCGACGAAAACGACTCTCGGAATCAGCCCACTGCCGCGCCACTGATTGGAGTAAAAGGATTCATGCCTCGCAGAGCTAACTACCATCGCGCCCGCCAGCCCCATGGTCCTCTTCCTTCGTCCTGGAACTGGGACTCCAGCTGCTCCAGAGGCCCCTCTGACCCGAGTATAATCTAGGGGTGCGGTCATAGGCCACGTTGGCGAATGTCACTCGCTTCGCGAGGCGAGGGAGGGATCGACCGACTACATATCCTTAATTGAAAACTACCCTCAGTGCATTGCGCAAAAATCAGGACAGAAAAGAAGAAACCTCCAAGTGGCGCCGCACGCCCCCTTCCCCAGCAGCATGACACATGGCGAAGGAAAGGAAAGGAAAGGTGGAGGACTGCAAGGACTGCAAATATTTGCAAGCGGGGCCGCGGGCCGGGCCGCCTGGGCCGCCTGCCGAGCGATTCACAAGAGTCGTCTCGCCACTGCCGTCTCTCTCGCACCCACGGGGCTGTCCGTGAGGGTGCGAGAGAGACAGCGACATGCCGATCTAGGGGGAGGGGGAGGGGGGAGGGCAAGCCCGGCACCTTTCTTTTGCACTTCGGCACTTGGCCTCTCCGCATCCGCCATCCGCCCCGCCCCCTCCTAGTAAATACCACGACAGTACTAAAACGGAATCCCGCGTCTCCAGCACACAGATTCCGAACAGTCGTTTCGGCGCGCTGTCTCCGTCTCTGTCGCACCCGCGGCACGTCCCGCAGGGGTGCGACAGAGACGCGACCTTTGGGATTGCTCAGAATTCCGGCAAAGCAGCCAAAGCGAGGCTTGGCCGACACAACTGGAGCACCATTCGTGATGTCAGAGGCAGCGGGCAGGCAGCGCGGCTCGGTGCGCGCAGCGCGGCCGGCATGGAGCGGCGGCGCAGACGGCCGCCCGGCCGGACAGGACAGACAGACTCGAGGAACCAATTGCACTACGGCATGCAAGTGGCTTGGCATGGCTTGGCATGGCTTGGCTTGGCGCGCCGCACCGCGCATCGACCCTTCCGTGCCAATCGGTGATTGGTTACATTGTGGCCGATTCACGTGCAGGCGGGCCTGGCGGGCCTGGAGACTGATTCCAAGAGTCGTTTTCGTCGCTCTGTCCCCCTCGCTCGCACTCATAAGGACGCCCCCTGGGGGCCTGGAGGTGCGAGAGGGACAGGGCGACCGAAACGACTCTCGGAGTCAGTCTGCTGGCGGTCCTCGAGGGAGGTGACGAATGATACCCCAACAAAATCAAGTGACATGTTACAAAAAAAAAAATTAAAAAATAAAAATGGGCAAAAAAAAATTGTAATGAAAGTTTGAGCTTCGAATCAGGTTTAGAAAAATCTAGCAGTGATGCTACAAAACTTATCCAAATTCAGTACAGAATGAATACTAGGCCGGAGTGGGCCATTTCCACCATAGTGGCAGTGAAAGATTAATATGTTAAAAAAATCCATCTACTGTACTATATATAATACATTTGGCAGAAAAAAATGTAACATACAAACAAATAAAACTCATGTGCCCACACCATGAAAGCACCCTCATAGAAGTAATGGAATTAGACAAAAAGCACATGCAATTGTACAAAGCTTGTAGTGAAGGCCAATTTCCAACATGCCCATGGCAAACAAAAACTCATACAGAACTTGGTAAAAATCTATCGCTTCTTGCTAGAAGCGTTGGGCAAGACTCGTGTTCTTCAAGAAAGCACAAATGGCATCGCTTGAGAGTGACCTTCACTTCAAATCAATATTCATGCAAAATGTGAAAAGAAAACAGGACTCACGGTTGACATGGTTGATATAATAAACTCCTATTTGGTTATCATATGACTCTTCCCAGCCTAACGGCAGTTCATTGCCAATGCAGTCCGCAAAGGTCTGCGGCTTTGTTATCCTACAAAACAGACAGTGCAACAGGTATTTGTTAAATTTATATACACAGACAACTTAGCTTAGAGTTTCCCCATGTGTTCACACATTATTTAAGAAAGAATAACAAACAGAGACAGTTTTGAACCTTCTAAGGAACACTGGAACAACTAAACAGTAAGAAAGTAAGTAAATAATGGATGCCGAAATGAATTTAAGAAGTGCTTGACAGTCAAATGGCTTTCAATAAACAAATAAAAATACGTTACTTTGGTCTAGGTAAATGACATGAGCAACAAGTAACATGAACAAGTAATAACATATAAAATATTTCTTAACAACATAAATTTGGAACAATCATTGCATTGGCCAGAAGGAATATCAATGCAAGGACAGCAGTTGAGCCAGAAAGTGTTGCTTCACATTAAATTTTGATAGGTTTTCATTCAGATGACAAAGTTTGTATTGCAATGTTTGAGGCAGATAACTTATGAGCAACTAAAGTAACAATCATTCAACTCCAAAATAAAAATTTATATCTTTCCAGGGCATGGAAACGACAAGAAATGTACAGGCATTCCAGGAATGTTAAAAATGATTTGGTTTATTCCAAGATTGATGGTAAATACCAGAGACGAAACACATTTCAAAATGAATGACATTTACCGTAGTCTTTTTGTTCAAACGTTACAACAGGTGACCGAGGGAATACATGAACGCGTTCCCGAAATCTCACAAATATTGAGAACGGGTAGGCACGCAACAGTATTTGTGATAAGTACACACAACAACATCACATGTTTTCGAGCAGATGGCAGCACCGTCGCGCTCGCGCCACAAAAACAACTTGCCAGAGGCTGTTGCAGGGCTGCATCTGCTGGAATTTGGCGCCAAACGGTTCAGAAAAATGGCCCAAAAATTCCCCTTCCCCCCTGGCACACGCACGAGGGCGGGCGCGGGCGGGAAGGCACGAAAAAGCTCTGGAATGCGGAGGCATCCTGGCGGGCGGAGGGCCGTCGGCAGCCTCTGGGCCTCTGGCTCTGCTTACCTGTCCCTAGGGTCTATCCAAGTCGTTTTCTTGTTGTGGTGGTCGATGAAATACACTTTGCCGTCGTAATCCCGGGCAAAATCCCATCCTTCAGGCAGCGGTATCTCGCCATTCCTTTTCCTTGGCATATTTCACTCGAAAAATCCATCCGTTGCCGCAGCGTTTCGACCACACGGCCTCACTCCTCCGCCATTTTGAAAGCTCATTACCATCAGCATTGCCGAGTGCCTGCCGAGCCAGCCGAGCCGAGCTGCGCCGAGCCGAACCGAGCCGAGCGGGGCGCGGGCGGGGGAGCACGGGGCTCGGGGGCTCGCGGGAGCGCGGGGCGGGGGCGAGACGGGGGGGCCCGCCGCGCGGCGGCAGCGGCGCAGCGGCGGCAGGGGCGGGCCGAGGGGCGGAGAACGGGGGGCAGGGGGGCGGGGACCGCGAGCGCGGGGTAGCGCCAGCAGCGAGCCAGCGGCCAGCCAGCGGCGAGCCAGCGCCAGCACTACGCGCGCCGAACGGCGAACGGGCCGGGCGCGCCGTGGCCGTGGTCAGAGAGGCCAGAGAGTCGGGGTTGCAGCAGGGAAGGGCTTAGCTCGGCGTCGCGTGGCGTCGCCGTCGCGTCGGCCGGACGCTTGCCGCTTGGTCTCGGTCCCGTACGAGTTCGAGGTACGACTGTGGAGCGGGCAGCGGGCCCGCGGCGTGCTGCTGCGTTGCGTCGCTGCAGCGGCCCTGCCCTGGCTGGGGCTGGGCTGCACGGCGGCACGGCCAAGCCGGTAGCCTCATCCCAGCAATCCCAGCCTGCCAGCCCCACGCCCAGCCCGCTCGCTCCTTCGGCTGCGTTCGGCTTCGGAACGCCCCGCCACGCCCCGCCACGCCACGCCCCGCCACGCCCCGCTCGGCCACGCCGTCGCGTCGCGGCCGCGGGGTAGGGGAACAGCGACGCGACTCGAAACTCGCTCGGTTGGAAGAGGGAATGCAGGGCCGAGGGCCGCCGAGGGCCGGTATGCAGGGGGTACCTCATGGCTGCGTTCAGATTCCTCGCCCAGCGCCCCTCCTCCCCGCCCCGCCTCTCTCTCGCGGGCCTCGCGGGCCTCGCGGGCCTCGCGGGGCGGGATGCGTCGCCGTTGCCGAAGTATACAGGCATCTGCACGCGGCAGTGGCGGCACGCGGTGGCAGTGCGACTCGGCTTCGGCTCGGGAGGGAGGCGGCTTCACTTTGCTGGAGACTGCAGCCTCAACAGGTGGTTGGCGTCGCGCCGCCAAGCGCACGGGGCTGCCTGGCCGCCACTGCAGTCATTCGGGGAAGAACTGACCGCTGGAGATACGCCACGCCTCGGGGACTTTTCACGCCGGCCCAGCGAGCATCTTTGATGCATGGGGTAGAGACGAGGTCCTTTACCCCAGGCTGGCCTGCTGGCGGTTCGTGGCCGCATGCTTCGTAAATTCAGGTTCTCTTTCACTGGCGAAAAACCAAAAAAAAAGGCCTTTGCCGATACTCCATGCCTTTAGTGAACCATGGAAGTCCCAAAGTTAAATATCTCTCAGACGCGGGGTGTCGCTGGAAGAAGTTCTTTCTCCGGTGTTGCAGAAACGAAGTTGGGACTTCCCTGAGCGCATGATAAAAAGTAAAGACTGTCTCAGTGGTGTGGAAGGGAAGGGTTGAAGAAATAACTTAGTGTCCACTCATCTGGTTACATTTTCTTTTACTCTTTTATGCATGGGTGCTTGTCCATCCATAAATGAATGACTCACAAGAGAATACACTTAACAAATAAAAGGGGACAGTACTTAGAAAGGCAAGATAAGAGATGTAACAGGAACCAGTTAAGAATTTGCCTTTCTACAAGTGAAGTAATCTAGAACAGTGGAACTCATCTACTATCTTGCTTTGGTTAAAGTATATGAGTTTTGAACTTCTTAAGAACCATAGACCTAAGTACTAAACATTGACAACATAAACACGCACAGGACATACAAAGACGTAACTTATAACTGGGTAGAGTACCAAAGAAAAGAATAAGAAGGGTTATTCTGAATGTGTTTCAGGTACAAAACAAAATAACAAGTAAACAGGACAAACAAACAAAACAAATAAGCAGTATTCACACCCACTTTCATAATTCCATCTGCCTACAGAAAAATTGAAACGACAAAACAAATATTATAAGTTTTCCAAAAGTAAATTTCACGAACATTAAGTCACTTTCATGACAAAAGGTGGTAACTTAAAAGAGTAAACAAAATGGGTTGCCCTCTGCTGAGTTATGCACAGCCAGGTAATAAATAAAGTATGGTTAAAAAGCAAAAACAAATATATTTTCTGAACCAAATTAAGTGCAGCACTACGGGACAACAATTAGGCATTAATTAAATTTAACACTAGAACACAAACTCACTTAAGTGAGGAAAAAAATTAAATTTAGATTTTACTGAGAAAATTGAAATTAGAGGTGGAAGATTCTTTTGATAAGTTTAATAAAGTAGATGATGTTATGTGATTGAAAAGAAAGCACTTAAGAACAGCTCAAAATAATGACCCATTAGTTAACTATTTTGCTTGTACAGAGTACAAGTGAAAGTGCTACTCATCTTTGTCAAATCAAACATTGAGCCTAACAATCAGTTCAAATTTCAGTTCTGGAGTGACCTCAAGAGGCACAGAACATTTCCATTGCTCTGCATTGCACTGGTTACTGCCGGGTCTATGATTGCAGAATGTTCAAAATACTCATTAAAATCAATAGGTACAAAAATAAATGACTAGAATAATGACTTGCTTATACCTATAGTTAAATAAGACCTAAAAGTTAGGTACAAGACTTGACTTTTCAACAGCTGTGATCGTCAAATACCTTAATCACTTGGCCATATGAGGCCACAGTATATTCTTAAAACAAACCCATACAGTCTCATTCACGCACACCTTTACAGACCTCATTCTTAAAGTATCTGCTGGATACTAGTGCCAATTTTCCAAAAAAACTTAGTCAAAACCTCATAACTAATTGTGTTCCTCTTTTCAAACAACATCTCAACTTAAGTGCATTTATGACCTGCACTAATACTCTTCAGTCAACCTGTGGGCATTAATTTATAGCAATCAAGCTGTACAAATAAGTCATTAATATCTTAAAGCCTTTTCAAGGAGAGGCTCTGATATCTTTTTCTGACATTTGGACCTTACTGTAAGAACACATCAAAACTCTTTGGGGTAATTCTCAGTGGAATGTCATGAAACCACTTGGATATCCTGCGTGAGTAGAGTTGGCACAACAAAATATTTTGACTCTTATCAACAACAGACAACCCCATTAGTTTCACAAAATAAAAGGAATGAACAACAGTCTACATGTTTGGAACAAAATCTGATGCATCATAGCGTGTCCAGTAACAGTAAAATATACTGTTCAAAGATACAACAGTTTTGCAAAGCCCTTCAAGGAATGCAGCAAATTAATTGTCATTGGTTAACATTGGTACTAGAAATCTTAGATCCTTTTTTTCAAAAAGGAGAAAAAAAGGCTACCTTGTAAGCACTTGAGTTGCTGGGAAAAAAAGTATGCTAAACACATGATTTAAAAAGAAAAGAAAAAACAAGCCACATAGACATTCTACAAAACACTCAAAATGTCTCAAAGTAACCATTATTTAAATATAAAATTTGAGTAAGACATGTTTTGAAACACACACATGAAGAGAATCTGGATCAACAACAAATGATGACTGGAAAATCGTGTCAAAATACCTAATATGCAGACTGGAAATGAATATGTGTGCAAGATATGGAGATCCAGTCTCTCATAAGAACTTCTTGATTAAAGTTTGGCCTGATGATAAAAACAGCAAGAGACAACACAGACAGAACGAAAACTGACAAGTCAAGTCACAAAAAATATTCAGGTTATGAAATATTACTTGAGACAAATTTTACACATGGGGCAGAAATCAAGCAACACAAACAAAACAAGGGAGAAGACAGAGACAGCAAAGAAAGAACACAAACAAAATCGGAAACTGAAAATCATGAAAAGATGAGAACAAAATAAAGCGAGTGTTAAAGGCAATACTAAAATATAAACTATCACAATCAGAAAAATACATAAAATTGACTAGAGTCACCAGTAGCATATTTTGCACTAAGTTCTGATAAATCTCTGAAAAAGAAAATAGTTTAAGAATTTTCAATACATGCCTACTCAGTTTAAAACCACCCTAGTTTTAAAGCATAAATACAATGTTCTGTACAGTTAAAATATCTATCTTGGAATAATACGGAATTCAATAATACTTCAGATACACAATATAGCCCCACACAAACCTCACAAGTTCATAAGTCCTACAGCTGTCTAAATTGAGATAACATCGTAATTGGCGAATGAAACCTTCATAATTATTTGGTATTAGAACAAAAATGCTGCGATGGAAACTTCTTTTGTCAAGGAACATAAGAATGACTCACACACTTTCATTTGGCATAGGCACACCCATACACACTCCAGTGTTAATCACTTACACATTACAATGCAATTCTGTTCTTCTTCATTGTCTTTTGTGATCAATAACCAGTGATGCAGGGTTTAGGTTTGGACACAAACACAACCACTGATTATACCTTTTGTAGTCACAACCAGTTAATGAGAACAACTTAAAATTATTCCATGAAAAAAATTCAATACATCACCTTTGCTAACACTGGCTACATTTAACTACAATAGTCTTATGTTAAAGCATCATAAATATGGTAAACGAGTTATAGAAACAGATACATAAAACATGGTATGTATGCTGTTTACTCAGCAATATTCCAAAGTTTGCCTGAAGACTTTCCTTCCCAGTGTAGAATTTATAGTACGGTAATCCAAGAAACATAACTGGGGAAGTGTTCTTAAGAAAACCTCGTTTAATTATCCTGCAAAAACAAAGAAGACATTTAACAATAATTTAAAAGGAAAAAAGTTAATGGATTATGAAAAAAAAAAAAATTATTATTGAAAGAATTATTACTCACCAAACTAATATCATAGTCTTCTCATTTCTTAAGTGACTTGTAGTGCTCTTTCTCAGGTCCATTATCTGGAGCCTCGCATTCGAAGGATGCTAAAGCTAGAGCTGCAAGCAGAAGAAAAAAATTGTGTTCAATAAACAGGTGAACATTTGAGTTGTGGAATGAAAATTCACAAGTAGGAGTTCTGTTACACCAACCGTTGTCTGTCAAAAGAGGACTGGTCTGAAGATACATGATAACATCTGTGTTTTTGGGGAATGGGCAAACAGCCTGCTTCCATGCTATGAACTCCGTCACTTGCTTGGCTAGCTGCCAGAACTTCTCGAAGTTGACGTGTCCATTGGGAAGTCTAGAATCACACATACATCGACAAAATTAAAATTTGAAATAAATGCAAATATTTTGTACATTGCACAATCTTTACCTGTCTGCACAGCCCACATTCAGGAAGTGAAGGTCCTTCACTAGGAGGTAGAAGAAAGGCACGACAATGTAGTCGTTGGAAGCTTCTGGAGGCTGATGCGCACCAGGTACTTGTGCAGCAACATTCTGCTGCTTGGAGCGCTTGACTGCAGCAGCCAGGGTAGTACGGTAGCTCTTGTAGTTGTCGCTCATGCTCATAAGATTCTGCAGTACCGTGAAGCACTTGACACAGTGCACCTTGGACCACTGAAAAATGAAAATGGATTCCCAAGATTATTCAACTGCACTCCATTCGCAACACGCTGAGCCCTTAATGGAACACCCCCATGGAGACTCGAAATGGTTCGCACTCGCAGCCTGAGAGTTGTGCGGGTGCTCTCTGCGCAGACAAAGAAGGAGAAGGACCCGAAGGGCGAAGGGCTCGGCTTCATGGCCCTCATGACTACACAGTGCAGGGCCACGGCGCCACGGCCGCCATGGGGTTACGGCCGGAGCTAATCTCACGTGGGGCTGCCACGGTCCGGACTGGGGGCTGCAGGCCTGCAGGCCCCGCCCGCCTGGATGGAGCCTGGCTCGCCTGGCTCGCCTGGCTGTAGCGCGGTGCGCGGTTAGTCGGCAAAGCTAATCTGTCCCTGGGGCCTCGTGTTAGTTGTCGGCCGGCCCCAGCCTGTTGCCCCCACCCACTGACACACGAACCCGGCCACTATTTCAATGGGGCAGAGTGGTGGAGTGGACGATAGGTGATTTTATCCTTCCCTGCCCCCCAAAACGGAGAGAGAGAGACAGAGCAAATGCAATTTGAATCGATTCGGGTGAACAAAGCAACAACTTGGCAGCGCCTAAACTGCAGGTTTTTCGCGATCGTGCACATATTATGCAGCGCCGTTCCATTGCTCCGTGCTTATGCGGGCTGCCTGTGAGTGCGAGTGGGACAGAAGGTGTTCCGTAATATGTGAACGGCCGCTCCGAACTGGCGCTTAAGACCAGAGGGAATCCTCCGGTCTATGAGGCTGCAGATTGCTGCAGACTGATTCCCAGAGTCGTTTTCGTCGCGGTCTCTCTCGCGCTCATGGGGCGTCCCGTACAGGTGCGAGAGGGACAGCGACGAAAACGGCTCTCGGAATGAGTCTGCTGGCTGGGCTGGGTGTGGCCTTTACTTTCCACTCCATGAAAGTTTCCCAAACGAGCATCCTCCGCCCCACCCTCATTGTGCCGAGCCCCCTGTGGCCTCCCCCTCCTCCCCCCTGGCAGATTGGGATTGGATGGCATTGGTTTGGACGGCCCTTTCGACCAAGTTAAGCACCTGTCACGCTCCCCAGAGCTCCTTGGCGGCAATTTGAAAATAAGCAAGTGTTCCTGCGGACTGATTCCGACAGTCGTTTTCGTCACTCTGTCCCTCTCGCACTCATGGGGCGTCCCCTGCAGGTGCGAGAGACGAAAACGACTCTCGGAAGTGTCTGCTGTCGGCAGTGGTTCTCACCGTCTTCTTGAGGCGCGCCACCGGCGCCAGACTGAGGCCCGCGTTGATGGCCATGAGCGAGTTGAAGTTGCCGATGTTGTAGCACTCGCGCGCAGTCTGCACCCAGAAGTCCAAGACGCGCAGCCGCTGCTTCTTCTTGGGGTGCTGCAACACACCAACACACAGTGTCACACAGTGCCACACAGTGGACCGGCATGAGGACGCGGACGGCGGGGCTAAATCTCAAGCACACGCACAAAGGGAAACGAGGTAAAGGGCCCAGGCTGTGCCGCTGCGCCGCTGCGCCGCCGGGGCGGTTTAGAGAGGCGCGGTGTGTCAACCGACAGAAGAATAAATAATACAGAGGGTGGGAAAAGGGGGGGGGAGCAGAGGTATGCAAACATGCTGCTGGGGCCGCGCACGGCGCACGGCGCCGACGGGGCAGGACCGGCAGGGCGGCCAGGGCCGTGAGTGAGGCCAAGCGGCGAGGCATGGTCCATGAGGCCAGTGGAAGTTCCGAGGGGTGGCCGACTCCAGAAATTTCTGTACGAGGAACATGTTCCGGACGGAACATGTTGGAACATGTTCCAATTTTGGGAACATTTCGGAACATCTCGGAATAGAGGGAACATCGGAATCATCAGGAACATCGGGGAACATTTGGAATTATCTGGAAATATGTTGGAACATTTGGGAACATTCGGGAACATCAAGGAACATCTGGGAACATTTGAGAATATTAAGGGAACATCTCCAGAGTACCTCCATTGCTGTCGAATGCAATGCAAAGAATAGATTCTACTTGATATCGCTATCGAATTCTGTCTTCTAAGCCAAACTGCAAATCTGAGTGTCGGATAGTCTGACCACACCTAAAGTCGAACCTGGGTCCAAACTTCTTCGATTGACTCAAAATGGACCGGTTGACCTTGCCCTGTTTCCAAAAACACCCCTCTTTTGCTATTCTAGCTTTGTAAGGGGATCCTACTTTGCCCCGTAGACCATGACGGACCTGCAGCAGTGCCCCCGGGCCTCGGATCGAAAAAGCCGACTCAGGGTAGTTCATTTGGTCGTCCAAACACACCAAATTTGGAGTAGATCGGACCGCGGCAATTCCCCCCTTCCCCCTTTTACGTACGTACGCGCGCGCGCAAACACACACACACACACACCCACCATGCACTCTCGTTCCAAGTACGTGACATCACGTTGAAACGAACGAGACAAAATGTGGCATTGTCACATTCGTTTGGATGTGAACAAGGTAATTTTTCGCCGATTCACATCCAAACGAATGTGACTCAATGCTCAAACGACCGTGACATAGTTTCAACCGGATGTCTCGCACTACGAATGAGAGTGTGCATCCGACCATCCTGACACGGGACAGGCTAAAAAAGATATAATAAACCAGAGGAACACAAGGAACATTTTGGAACATTAAGGAACATTTTGTAACATTAAGGAACATTTTGGAACATTAAGGAACATTTTGGAACATTAAGGAACATTTTGGAACATTTGGGAACATCGAGGAATACTGGGAACATGAGAACATTGGGAACATCAGGGAACATTTTTCGGAACATTTGACCGATGCACGAGGAACATCGAAGTCGGCCACCCCTCGGGAAGTTCACGAGACACAGTGGATTTGCTAGAAGACCGGCGGAGGCGGTCAAAATCCCGGACGCGTTTTGAGCTCCAGAGTCGCTGAATGGGACTCGAACCGAACGTGTGGCCCCACCAATGGATTGCTCTCCGAACGAGGAATCCATTGGTGGGGTCACACGCTCGATTCGAGTCCCATTCAGCGACTCTGGAGCTCAAAACGCGGTGCGGGATTTTGACCGCCTCCGCCCACTGTGCGAAGGTAGGCGCGAGGAGGGAGGCCGGGCGGACTGGTTCCGCACACTGCTTCGTCGCTCTGCCTCTCTCGCGCTCTCGCGGAACGCCCCATGAGTGCGAGAGAGGCAGAGCGACGAAAAAGCACTGCTCGGGGTGAGTCTGCTGGCACTTGGCGGTACGGCCTGCACCTCGAATTTGATTCGGCTCCTCGCTGGAACGCTTTATTTCCCCAGGGCCTGTCCGTCCTGCCGTCGCCGCCCTCATCATCGGCGTCACCTCGACCGACCGTTCTCTCTCTCTCTCTCTCTCTCTCTCTCTCTCTCTCTCTCTCTCTCTCTCTCTCTCTCTCTCTCTCTCTCTCTCGCACCCGTGCGGGACGCCCCGCGAGAGAAAGAGAGAGGGGCAGCGCGCCGAGGCCAAGTGTTCGGAATGAGTCCGCTGGCCGGGGCAGGCCGTCAGCGTGGCGGTGATGCGACACATGGCCGAGGCCATCACTTTGACGGCCACTCGGCACTCGGCGCGTAGCTTGGCCGCTTGGGACGTCTGTGGCGCACAGTGGGCCAGAGGACCGGTGGAGGCGGTCAAAATCCCGGACGCGCTTTGAGCTCCAGAGTCGCTAAATGGGACTAGAACCGAACGTGTGACCCCACCAATGGATTGCTCTTCGAACGGGGAATCCATTGGTGGGGTCACACGGTCGGTTCGAGTCCAGTTTAGCGACGCTGGAGCTCAAAACGCGTCTAGAGTTTCGGCCGCCGGCGCCGGTCTTCTGGCCCACTGTGGGCCGAGGCCACGGGGGTCGAAATGACAGGCAAAGCGAAAGAGCCACTGCGAAACGCCGGGCTGCGCGGCGGCGCCGTGGCGGTGCCCACCTTGCAGATCTCGGTGGCCACCAGGTAGCTGAGGCGCGTGAACCAGTCCTCGTACGCCTCCTTGCTGCGCGTCTTCTTGAGGGGCGCGCCCGAGCCGTCGTCCCCGGTGGTGGACACGCCGCGCTCCTTCATGAAGGCCAGCACGAACTCCTCGGCGCCGATGTGGGACAGCCTCTCCAGCTCCACGTGGGTCAGCTGGTGGGCCAGCTTGGTGGGCGTCCGCACCATGTCCATCACGTCCGTCTGCAACGACAGTAACAACAACATGAGCACACGGCAGCAACGCAGCGGCATGAGCACTCGGCAGCAACAACAACATGAACACAAGCATCTACAAAGAAGAACCCCTCGCCCAAAGAATTGGCCCGTCGATGCTCTGCGAGCGCGCGAGAGGGAGAGAGAGGGAGAGAGAGAGAGAGAGAGAGAGAGAGAGAGAGAGAGAGAGAGAGAGAGAGAGAGAGGGAGGGAGAGAGAGAGAGAGAGAGAGACTGGCAGTGCTGACCTTGCGAGCTATCGACAGGGCCATTCCTTTCGCGACTGACTGTTCAGGTGGAGTCCATCGTGTGTATCAGTCAAGCCCGTTCGCTCCCGAGGGGCTGATCCACGAGAAAGGAGACCGACCAGACAGGCGGACAGACAGGCAGGCAGGCAGCCAGCGGCGGCAAGAGCAAGTGACCTAAAAGTGTCCCGGACAACAAGTTGAAACTTCCGTGCGCGAGCCAATGCATCAAACCGAGCAGCTACGCCTTCCGTGGCTTGGCCGCTCCGACAACAGAAATGAGCCGAGTGCGGGTTGCGGGGCGGGGCGGGGTAGCAACTCCCGACGCCAAAGTCGAGTTTCTCCCCATCTCTTCGATCTTTTGAGGCCAGTGAGCATGGCGGCGGCGTGGAGGCCAGGCGCCACGGCCCGCCACCGCGGCAAGCCGCCTCGCGTCCCCAGGATGGCGACGGCGCGCCCCGCGGGGTAGACGTCCCTTTGGGCGGCACGGCTGGAGGGGCTTCCAGGCAGCTCCGGGCCTGACACGCCCCCGCAGCCCTCCGCGTCGCTCTCTCTCTCTCTCTCTCTCTCTCTCTCTCTCCGTCATGGCGACCCCCAGGGGTGCGAGAGAGACGGTTCGAAAGTGGGGCGGCCTGGCGGCCAACGCCGAGCAATCTCCTGGTGATCCGCGCGGCTAAAAACCCGGCCGCCGGGAAACCTCGGCCTCGGTATTCGAATCCGGGACCCGGGCGCCGCCACGCCGCCAGGCCACGTCGAGAGGCTTGGCCCGCACCCCCAGCCCCATCCCTCAAACCCGCGCCCCGCCGCGCCCTCTTCCAAGAACCGCCCCTCCCCAACATATTCTCGCCGGCCTGGCCGGCCTGGGCCTGGGCCCTTGATCCACGTCAAGGCGAGGCAGCCCGGGCAGCCGAGGCGTGGGCCAAGCAGCAGCCGGGCCGCCCTTCGGAGGGAACCGGCCGACCGGCCACGACACGGCGCATTTTTTACCCCCGGACCGGAGGCGGCTGCCGAAGCGATTACTCCGAAGAGCCGTCTCTGTCGCTCTCGCGGGGCGCCTTGAGGGGTGCGAGAAGGACAGCGACGACGGTGCGTCGGGGAGGTGGCCGGCCAGGCCCACGGCCAGGCCCACGGCCCGTCCAGACCGTCGAGCCCGTCCACCAGGTGCGCGCCCGGCAGGCAGGGCCGACAGGGCGCGCGCATAAACCACGAGTATCCAAACTGAAAACGCTACACTCTTGGAACCACGAGGTTTCTCGGTTGAAACCAGGGTTGAAACTCGGCAGTGAGCACGGGGGAAGGTTAGGTTCGTCGCGCAGCAGGGAGGGTCAAAAAGGCGGGCAGCCTCAAGTGGAGCGTGGGGCGGGGAAGGGGGTGGGGGTGGGGTGGCGAGACTGTGTGATTGAGAGCCATAGGACCCTTTCTTTCTCGCTAACAGCGTTGGGGTGGCTCCCCCGGCTGTCCCGCCAGCCCTGCCAGCCCTGCCAGCCCGCCCCTGGGGCTGTAAGTTGTGACTTGGCCGCGAGGGGCCGGGCCGGGGCGGCGGGGGTGAGTGATTGTGGTGGAGGTCGTCACCGTGCGGTAGGTAAGGCTATGCTTGTTTCGGCGCTGTCGTTTCCCCGTCGCCGTCCGGTTCGTCGAGGTGGCCGTCGAGGTGGCCGTCGAGGTGGCCGTCGGGGTGGCCGTCGGGGTGGCCGTCGGGGTGGCCGTCGGGGTGGCCGTCGGGGTGGCCGTCGAGGTGGCCGTCGAGGTGGCCGTCAGGGTGGCCGTCGAGGTGGCCGTCGGGGTGGCCGTCGGGGTGGCCGTCGGGGTGGCCGTCGGGGTGGCCGTCGGGGTGGCCGTCGGGGTGGCCGTCGGGGTGGCCGTCGAGGTGGCCCTCGAGGTGGCCGTCGAGCTGGCCGTCGAGCTGGCCGTCGAGCTGGCCGTCGAGGTGGCCGTCGAGGTGGCCGTCGAGGTGGCCGTCGAGGTGGCCGTCGAGGTGGCCGTCGAGGCCGGCGGCACGGGCAGCACTGGCGGCGCGGTTCAAGGACAAGACCCCCTTCAGCCCGCCTGCCGCAGCCTGCCGCCAATTTCAAACAAGAAAGGGCTTTGAGATAAAAAAGGTGTGGATAAGGGCGCGGGCTTGAAAAGGGCCTGACAGTGTCGCCCAACTCGGTCCCGCGAGGGGCGGCAGCGCGGCCACCACGCCGAAGAGTGTTTTCGTCGCCCCGTCTCCCTTGCACTCACGCAGCGTCGCCGAGGGGTGCGAGAGAGACAGCGCGACAAGAAGCCCCGGCGGCGAGGCAAGCCAAAGGCAAGCCGCCTGCGAGGCAGGCAATGCGCGAGGCCTGCGCGACGCGCGAGTGCGGCGGGCTGCCTACCCCGAGCATCGCAGGCGCTCTCCGCGCCTCGGCGGCGCTTGCCAGGAGGTGGACTGCGCGCCAAGTGTAAAACTGCCGTGGTGTCGATTTTTCACTCCGGGCATTTTGGATGGTCATTTTTTTCTTTTCGGTGCGCGCTTCTCTTCAGCGCAAAGGTGCGACCTTGACCCGACAGGCCAGTCATCGGTAACGGGGATCACGGCCTCGGTGGCGTCGGCGGCGAAGTGCCGTCCGTCGTCATCGGCCACCCTCCACTCCACCCTCCACTCCACCCTCCACTCCACCCCCCGGCCCCCCAGCAGAGAAGGTCACCACGCCGCACTACACCGCACTACGCCGCCAGCAGCGAGCACCCACCATAGCGACCCGGCCCGACCCCGCCCGACCGGACGCTGGCTTCTTTTGTCCGGCAGAAAAATGGTCCTGTATCATCGTGTCCGAGCCGAGCCGAGCCCTGTCGCACAGTGGGCCAGAAGACCGGTGGAGGCGGTCAAAATCCCGGACGCGTTTTGAGCTCCAGGGTCGCTAAATGGGACTCGAACCGAACGTGTGACCCCACCAATGGATTGCTCTCCGAACAAGGAATCCATTGGTGGGCTCACACGTTCGGTTCAAGCCTCATGTAGCGACTCTGGAGCTCAAAACGCGTCTGGAGTTTTGTCCGCCTCCACCGGTCTTCTGGCCCACTGTGTGCCGTTCAATCCGTGCCGCTGCTCGATGCGTGCGCCGCGATGCGTGTGCCGCGTGCACACACGGAACGCACGGCGCGGCGGTCCAGGCGGAAACAGAGTCGCAAGGGACGGGAGCGAAGGGTCAGGCCCTGCCATGGCCCAGCCGTGCACAATACGCCGCAATCCGTCGCTCTGTCTCTGTCGCACCCATGGGCCGTTCAAAGGGTGCGAGTGAGACAGAGCGATCCACGGCCGGGAACGAGTGGAGCGAACGGCGGAGATAGGCAGAGCAGGCCGGACACCGGCCAGCGGGACGGCCCTGCCACCTGCCACACCACCTCTCTCTCTCTCTCTCTCTCTCTCTCTCTCTCTCTCTCTCTCTCTCTCTCTCTCTCTCTCTCTCTCTCTCTCGCACTCACAAGCCGCTCCGCTGGGGTGTGAGAGAGACGCAGCCAACCTGCAGGCAAATGTGACAAAGTTGCCTCCAGCCGCGCTCTAGCCAGCCTCCATTACCCGCTGGAGTCATTCCAGCAGGTCGTCTGGACACACGTGGATTTCACGGCGTGCTGGGCCGCTGCCCCGCCAGCCCGCCAGCCCGGCGGCCCACAGTGGGCCAGAAGACCGGTGCAGGCGGCCAAAACTCTCGACGCGTTTTGAGCTCCAGAGTCGCTGAACAGGCCTCGAACAGACCGTGTGACCCCACCAATAGATTCCTTGTTCGGAGAGCAATCCATTGGTGGGGTCACACGTTCGGTTCGAGTCCCACTTAGCGACTCTGGAGCTCAAAACGCGTCTCTAGTTTTGGCCGCCTCCACCGGTTTCTGGCCCACTGTGAGGCCCCGCCACGCACGGCTGGCTCGGCACTCGCCCTAATTTTCCTGCCAGTGCCGTGGCTCCGCCAGGTGGTGACCTGCAGTTGAGCCCCCCTCCGCGGCGACACACACGGGCCCCTATTTTTCTTTGTGGCCCCTCCAGGCCGCTCCAGGAGGGCGATAACTGGGGAAGACGGGGCAGACTCGGAGAACAAGGGGAGGTCGCGGCAAGGAGGCCAAGGAGGGGAAAGTCATTTCACGGCTTGCTGCCGAGCGATTCCGGAGGGCGCTTTGTCTCTCTCGCACCCCTACGGGACGAGCGGGGCGCGCCACGAGTGCGACAGAGACGGACGATAGTGCGCCGCGTGGCGCCTCCCCGCACACCGCCCACACTGTGCCCGCACCACCGGCGATCAAACAGCAATCGCTGCAGTGGCTGCGTCTCTGTCTCGCCAGAGTCGAGGAGAGCAGAGCGGGGCAGAGCGATTGAATCCGGAGACCAAGAGGCGCAGCCCGCAGACTGGTTCCGAGAGTCGCCTTCGTCGCTCTGTCTCTCTCGCACTCACGGAGCGCCCCGTGTAGGTGCGAGAGAGACAGAGCGACGAAGACCACTCTCGGAATCAGTCTGCGGGCAAAGACGCTTCGAGAGTTACTCACACATTTACCGAGCCACACGCGCGCAGAGAAATGAGTTTCCCGTCCCAACTCACCAAACTCACAAAATTACCTCACGTGCATAAATGTTTCACTGTGCATTAATTACTCTACCCATTCATTTTCGATGCAAACGACCGCTTCCAGTCAAAAGACATCAAAATTCAGACAGAATTATTTTTCGGCACACGTGCGGAAGAGAGGTAGCCATTTTACCCCCTGGAATCGGCCGAGGAGAAAACACGTTCTG